CGCCGGGCGCGGGCAGCAGCAGGAGCAGCAGCGGCAGCGCCCGCGCCCCCGTCGCGCCGCGGCGGCCGCCGGACCCCATGGATGGCGCTGCTGCCGCTGCCGCCGGGCGGAGGAGGCGGCGGCCGAGGGAGTGTCTGGGGCGCCCGGCCCGCCTCGCACCGACAGCGGGCGCGGGGCGGCGAGGGCTGGGCGGGCCTCCCCCTCCCCGGGCCGGCCCTGCCCCGCTGCCCCGGGCGCGGTGGGCGCTGCCGGCTCACGAACCGCCCCGTCCCCGCCCGCGGAAGCCCCGGCGGCCGCCCCGGCGCTCGCACACCTGCGGCGCCCCAAACACAGGTGTCCCGCGGGGCCGCTGCCGCCCGCGGCGGCGGGGACACCTCACACGCAGGCTGCGGTGTGCCGGGGCTCCCCGCGGCCCCGGAGCCATCGCCCGGCGCGGACAAGCCCCAGCACGGAGCCTGTCGCAGCCCGAACACACGCGACGCGCTCCAGCCGCGCTTGCGTTTGTTCAGGAACACAATATTGACATTTTTACCGTGTAATTACACCCCGCCGCAGAGCGTGAATCCCCGGCTGAAGGCCATGCCAAAACCCACACATCACGCCACCCCCAACCCAGCCCCATCCCCATCCCACCTCCATTCCCAGCCAGGGATTTCTCACAGCTGTCGCTCCTTTGGCAGGTAAAATTGGTTCATACATTATTCACTGAAATGATCATTTCCTAAATAATGTCTGACCTTTCAGAGTGCGAGCAAAAGCGGGCAGTATTCTATTCCACCCCTCCCTCCCATCCCCATTTCACTGGCCTTTCTCTTTTGTTTTGTTCTGTGAGAAATACCGAGCTGTTTCTAGTTGCATGGGCGGTTTATACACATTAGTAAATCTTCAGAATGAAACTTTCCCCCAGTCTTTGTCTTTGTTTCCTTAATGGCAGCTATAAATTACTACTCTCCTTTCTCACTGGAGCATCAGGCTTCATTGCTTTTGAAATGATCAAAGTTATTCTCTTTTTAAATCCAATGAGAAGCAACCTTTTGTGTCTCCTGGATGGCTTCAGTCTTAGGCAATCTCATCTATAAATACATAAAGCTGCTCATTAAACAGTCCAAGGATTCTCCAGCCCTGCACCATACTCCAATCTTCCCCTCACCAGCAGAGAACAATAAATGAATGAAGGGTTTCTCGACAATTTCCATGATCTCCAGAACAAACCACCATACTTGGGGTGGGAACTGACACACCTGCATATCTCTCATCCAGGGCTATCACTCAGGGTTTCTGCACAAACAGCTCTCCCAAATGGACAGAGAAGCCATCTCCCATCCAGGCACATGACTTCAAGCCACCTTACAGAACAGCTGGTACACATTTCAGGCACTGCCCAGTCAAATCCCCTCAATGAACTTGACCAGCATTAATTTAATTAACTTTGATCACAAGATTTGCAAAAAACTAAGTAAAACACATATGAAGAGTGTAGCAGAAAAAACTGTAAGAGACACTGAAGAGTCATGTAACCAAAATATCCAAAGCTTTCTGAGGCACTGTAAAAGCAAAGCATCTTTCTTACTTCTGTAAACTAAAACATAAAGCGAGACATAAATATTTGGGAATGCCTGAGTTAGATCAAAAGATTTCTCTGCAGCTTGGAAAACAAACAGAACAATATCAAATTTATCTTAGCTAATGAAGCCATTTCTTATACATAAATCTCTAAGTGTTTTGTGAAAGATCCTGGCTATTATTTCACATATAACACACATTTGTTTATGATGAAGAATTGCCATTAAAATATCTCTTTAAAGACACAAACCAGACAAGCTCAGACTTCAACTCAGATGCCTTTCTGCAGCCTTTTTAACTATTTCTATTCAACCACAGAGTCACAGTGACAGATGACTACTATGAGCACGAAGACCTTGACTGGGAGAGAGAGAAACTAGAAAAATTCTTAAGATTCAACTTCATCTCTAAGTATGAGGAAAGGAAAACAACCATACCAGGGCAGTTGGACAGGAAGACAACCCAAATAGGACCATTTGGGGATTTTTTTCAGCTATTTAAAATAAAATCAAGTAACAAAGTTTCAGGGAGGAAAGTAGATCCTGGAAAATATCTACTTCCATAGAAGTAAGACCCCCCCAGTTCCCCTCTGCTTTCCATTTTCACTATCACAAGCACTTGCCTCACATTGAGAGATGGAGACTAAGCTGCCACAGAGCAGCTGGATGTAAAATCTGCTTCAGAAACTGTACACCTCATGTCCTGAGTAGAGATGAATACTTTTGTCTGAAAAATTTGGGTGAAAAACTGTTTCATAATACTTGTTAAATTGCATTATTTGATGGTGACCAAACATTATTTGAAGACATGTAGATTGCCATTTAACCTGCACTTAAATGAGAAGTAGCAACTCTGCTGGCCTGCATCATATTGACCCAAAATTTAGCATGACTGAGTGAGCATAATGAGTGCTTGTGACAGCAGCTGAAAACAACTGGGAGGGCCAGGAGATGCCAGAATGGTAAAAGGAAAAGTAGGAGGCCGATAAGTGAGAAAATACTTTCAAGTATTTAATTGCTCCAAAGCATACAAAAAATGTCTCAGAGCTGTAGTTTCAAGCCTTGCTTATCTCCAGATGTACACTGAGTTTTGAGTAATTGTTTCTCTTTGAAATGTACCTCTCAAATTTTTGCACTTCTCATCTTAAGTGTCCCAGGGTTGTTGAATTCCGTGTAAAAATAACACATCCTCAGTAATCAGCAGGAGCTGCACAGACTCATCTGAGACAGAGGAATTTTGTGGATTAAGTGGTCACAAGGGGCATTAAAAACCCTCCCATGTAATTTATATGTCTTGTCTAAGTCTTTTTATGCCACTTGTAGAAAAAAATTTCCCAAACATCAGATACACCAGTGATATTTTAAATGTTATAGGATCTGCATCTTAACATACCACTATCCCTGAAATGAAGAACAGTTCCTGTTTATAGCAGAACTGAATACAGCATGATCTATTAATACACACATATTTTTGAGATAATGGGGGGAAAAGGAGACACTTTGCCATGTGAAATAACTTTCAGACATTTGCATTTCCTTGTGAGAACTTCCCAAGTCATTGCTACAACAAACAGTAACATTTTAGACTGGAGCAGTCAGTGAACAGTCCCTGCCTGTGCACCCAGAGTTGCACAACACACTTTGCCCACCGAGACTCTGCTCCTGGTGCTCCTTCTCCTTGGAGGAAATCTGAAAAACCTGAAGCCACCACCTGAGACGAGGTGAGTGAAGCTGCCCTTACCCAGCTGCCCCACGTCCATCCCTGCAGGGGATCAGGAGCAGCAGGTCCCCCCCAAGCCCAGGGAGCAGCCATGGCCCCAGCTCCTGAGGCAGCTCTGGTGTCCCCCACGGGCTCAGCACACCCACAGCAGGCACCAAGCCCACGACTGCACCCCAAACCTGTCCATAGCACCACTTACCAGAGCATGGCTCAGGCTGGGTTCACCCTCTGGCATCCCCCAGGGAGACACCATCAGTTGTTGGCAGTGCAGGATCACCCCCAGCTCAGGCAGATCCATGCAGTTCCCCCAACAGGGATATCGACACTTGTTATTTTGCTTTGCTTAAAAAAAGCCTCCACCACAGACCAGGTGCAAAATTTCCCGTGCAAAACTACCACAGGGGTGTGAGAGGTGAAGCTACAGAGGTACCTCCAAATTAATGATCCAACTCCTCCTCTTCTGTCTTCCCTGGTGGTTTGGAACATTCAGTGGTGACCTCGCACAGTTTCAACCAGAGGGAAAGGCAGCACACCTGAGGGTGTGTGATCACAGAACCTTCCAAGGTCTGTGCTGGTCCCTCTGCCTCCCCCTTCTCCCCAGTCCCCGAGTCACGAGCAGGCATCTCCTCCACTGGTGGCAGAGTGACAAGGATGGCCTGGGAGAAGCCTTGGAGCTGGGAGGGAGCAGGTCCAGCTGAACAGATCAGACACAAAACTGTACAACAAAGGTCTCCTGAAATGAGCCACTAAAACATCCCACAGACCTGCAGCCAGGCAATGAGCCAGATATCAGCCAAATTATAACAGGCTTTTTGAAAATAGCACATTAATGCTATTTTTTCATGTTAGAAGACAAATTTTATTGCAATTCAGCAAATGAGCTACACCTGTAAAACCTCTTTGTATATCCACTTCACATTTAATGTCCAATGGATTGAAATGGCACAGGAAAAATAAAAAAAGGAAAACAGTACCTGGTTTTGTCATTATAATGTAAACTTCAACACGGCCCTTAAAAAAAACAAGCCAGTGATTTCCCCATGTAGTAAAATATATAGTTTATAAGGTATTGATGCTTTATCTCAGTTTAACAGCCAATCTCTAGGTATAAAATAAACAGCTACAAAGATGTGAAGTACGTGTACAATTTCTTCAAGTATTTTCAAGTATCCTATAGTCTCTTCACTACGGACAAAATTCATTTGACAATATACAGAAAATGTTAAATCTGAATCATTTCACTGCAGAAATCTTAACATATTAATGAATTTAAAACACATAAAAAGTATGGGTCATCCAACTAGTAAGTCCCATTTGAACAGTTTGAAAAATACTCTTTGTAATGGAAAAAGTTGTGGAATAGTCTCCAGTTCATGAATATGTTTTCAGCTACAGAATATCAGGTGGTTAAAGTTTATGGCAGGTAAAGGCTTTTTTTTTTTTGTATAAACTTACCATCATAGTATTTAATTACATTTAAACCAAGTCTTTATTAATTTGCATTTTCTTTTTGTATAAAGTATCACTGTAGCATTTACCAAAGAAGCCTAAATAACTGATAGGTGATAACCTAATTTTTCTTCTCAAATCAGGTATGACCCTGTAAACATGTTTGGCCAGTTTAGCAGTATGTATTTTCATCACTGCATGATGAACTGCTTACTTTTTAATCACTGCATTTCTCTCTCCAGAATGAACGTGTGCTGTTATAAAGATTTTATTTTCTCATTAACTGTTACCAAAAAATCCACACTGAACAACAGAACAATAACTGTACCTACCAAACCTGTCCCTTTAATTTGGAAAAGTAACAGGAAAAAAAGTTAAAACTGCATTACTCTGAACAAAGGGAGAAAGATTTTACAAAGCTCTGGATAAAAAGGTGCTGACTACACTGTTCCTATAAAGTTCAGCAGAATGGCATGGCAAGAGCAAATGCTGGATCCTAACCTTATCCTGTGGGACTGCTGCTAGAACAGCCATGGGAGAAGTGGGTGGGTGTGAGGTGAGCACTGCAGAGTGGTGGGATTGTGGCTGCTCCTGCAGCCTGGGCTGTTCTCACACATGCCAGCCAAATCTCTTCCCAAAATCCTGTACAGGCTGCATTTAACCATCTTGCTCTTCCTTGGATGCCTTTGGAGCTAACAAAACCAGCTTTAGTTCTGCTGCATCTCAGAACCTTCTACTGTTCTGTCAGTGGAGCAAATCCCTCCAGACTTGGAAGTCCACAGCAGAAAGTGCTTGGAACCCTAAAAGGATTAAGCACAGCCCCCCTGTGAGAGGAGGAGGAAGGTCTACCTCAAACTGGCTTTTGCTGTGAGAATAAAGGAACCTAGGAGCTGGAAGAGGATCTCTGTCTCTTCCTTTTGCACTCAGGGTGCTCTCACTGATGGGCAGCATCATCCCCACGAGCCAGCCAAGGAGCTCCCCCTTGGCAATCACCAAATCCCAGCCCCTGCCCATCCCAGGGATTTCCAACTGTCCTAATGAGGGCAAAACAATCCACACCAAAACAGCCATTAGGCCAGTGGTATAGCATCTCACTAGGTAAACTTGTGTAAGGAAGGAAAAAAAAAGATAAAAAAAGAACTTTAGTTCAGGAAAATTACCTCATACAAGATAAAATTAATCCACCCTTAATACTATGAGATAGATGCTTTTAACAGGATCAGCTCAACTATTAAGGTCAAAATACAGAACCTTTCTGTCTTACTTAATAAGCCCTGGTAAAGTAAATTTCAAAACAGCTGAAACAAAAACAACAACAAAAAACCCAAACAAATCAACAAAAAAACCCACCAAAATAGACCATTTTTTTTTGCTATTATTAATGCATAAACAATTTAGGGCAGGTGTAAAAAGACTATCCTAACATATTAAATTGAACATATGAAATTATTAGAATGCAGTAAAACTGTTTTTTTTTTCTTTGCCCTTCCAAAGAGGGAAGAAAAATTTTAAAAAACACTAACAAAACCAACCCTGCACACACAGAGAATACTCCTGTGAAATGCTCCTGTAAGCTGTGAAAGAATTTGCACCCACCCCATGTGAAGAGTGGCTCAGACTACCCTCACATCTTCCTAATGCTACTGTGAAATCAAAGAAGAATCTTGCTCTGATAAGTAGTGACAAAGGAACTTCTCAGTTTAATAGTGAAATAAATAGGACAGAAGTAAAAATAGTCAAAAATTTAATACATGTGCTATACTCATAAATTATGGAAATAAAACTATCACAAGATGTGACTAAGCTGTAGGTAAAGTAAAAGTGCTACAATATTGTATGAACCAAAAAACTTGGACTGTGCTTCTCTAAAGAGAGACAATACTGAGATAAGTTTATACAGTGGAGACCTCTTAAATACACAGCCCTGAACTTCTGTACAGTAATTTGTGATGCTGATAAATCAGCCTGTTCTTAAGTCACATATTCATTTCAAAGAGATTTTTATCAGAGGATTCAAATGAACAGAGATGCCTTTAGGCATTTGCCAAGTTCCAGATCTCTAATAAATTAAGCTTTCAAAATGTTTGTGTTTCATAGCAGAAATGGATTAAACTTTCTTTGCTAAAAACAAAAGCATCCCAAATGAAGCAGACTGTGACAATGGGATCCAAGACATATGCACTCAAAAGGAAAAAACTTAATACCACTTTCTTCTCAGAAACATTAAGAAATCCTTATGCTTGTTAGTAAGGTATACTGTTATTACTTCAGATGGGGCATAAAGATCTTTATTTAGTCATCTGGCATCTGGGGAACTCCTGTCCCTCTTTATTAGCAGTTAAGAGAATTACCAGCAGCAACCATATACACCAAGCTTCAAAAGGCTGGTTTAAGTGGAAATGTTCTTGTGTTATGAACAATATTTCCAGGTTTTTCATTTAAGTGGGCTACACTGTAAATTCTGAATTGCAACATAATATAGCCAGTTGTATCATAGAAGATTTTTTTTTAAGACAAACTTACAAAACACAATGATAGGTTAAATAAATAGAAAACATCAGTTAAAAAACAGACTTAATTTCTTCTTCTGTGCAATTACGTACCAATATGAAAAATATTACTTTTATCTCTGGACATTTCACGGTTCAGTCTCCTGGATTTCACTAAAAATAATACTGACAACAAAAATAAAGGAAAAAATAATTGTTGACAAATCAGTGCTTTGGAGCTATTAAAAGCACAGATCAGATCTGTAGTTCCCTTGCAGCAGAACATGACCCAACACCTTAAAAATCAAACATTGGTAATAATGTTAATATATAAAATATTAGTTTAAAAACTATAGAATGACCTTCTCAGCAGAAATGGAGTGTATACACTGGGGTCTATGACATACAGCATACCTGAAGGCAAGTTCACAGAATGCTGAAAGGCTCACTGCACATTTTCTATGGCAAGGAAATACTGCAGCTTTAAAATAAGCTGCACAATACTCATCTCTATCTCTTTCACATGAAAGTGTGTAAAAAGCAAATCAGCAAATAAACTCTAAAATAGATTTATACCAAAATCCTCTTTTTTACATTGAGTTTACAGCTTCTATCCATTTGCCTGTACTTTTTCTGGAGTTTCCTTCAAGAAAAGTCAAAGTTGCATTTTTGGGCCATGAACAAGTTCACGATACAATGTACTGGCAAGACAGAACTTTGCATACTAATGAGATTCACTCCTTGTTGCTTTTTTTTTGTGTTTGTAAAGACAGTTTTTCCTGTGGGACAGGAGGTCAGATGTCGATTCCTTTGACAAGAGATGCCTCCAGGGTGATGTTGAACTCCTGCAAGGTCTGCAGCACCCGAATCAAAGAATTCACCAGCGTGTGATCCTTAATCAGGGCTATGTCCTCATACATCTGGGCTGTAATGGGGCAGTCTGCAAGCAGGGCGATCCAGTGGTGCAAAAGGTGGTCTCTGACAAGGGGCCAGTGGGCAGTTTGGGAATAAAAATAAAGCCAAGTTAATTTCACATCTGCACAGACATGATTTTTATTCTTTGCTTTTAAACAGACCTACCGTGCTCTCCACTTATGAGACAGGGAATGGGGAGTAACTGCCCCATGTGCAGCATCTTTTCATTTCATTAGAATATCAATAACAATTATAAAGAAGTTTCTTTGTACCTGGCTCCAAGACACACCAGCATCTGAAACTTGCCATCCTTCCCAATGTTTCTTGGGGTGTTGTTGATAGCAGTGATAAAGCGACAGAAATTCCTGGCCCTTGTCTGCCAGTTTTCTTCTGGGACCATCTCGTTCTGCTCAAGGGTCTCATAGTATGTTTGTGCTTTTTCTTAAAAGAATGGTGGGAAAGAATGAAGTTTAATCAGTGCATTTAGAAGAAAATTAAAATTGAAAGGCCTCAGATCAAAGCTCATCCACTAATTTCCTGAATCATTACTTTGAGGCACTGGTTTTTTCTGTTTGATTCAGTCCTGTGCTCCCCCTGTATAAAACTGGGATTCCACTTCCTCCCCTCTGAACAATGCTAAAGAGGTTCACCTTTCCACTGAATTTGAGTGCAGTAAAATGATCATATAAGGGGAACTGCAATGTTGAAGTAGCTATTCAAAATATTGAAACATTTAGAATAATTCATTTTTTAAAATGTGTTTGTGAATTCAGTTGATTTATTCAGCTTTGTGTCAAGGGATCTAGACCATTGTGTGAAAAATGGGCTTATAACCCCTTTATTACAATGTCCAGTACATACAACACCACTAGATCTACCTGCTGTGCTTTGAAAGGCAACTCAACCTCTTACAAGTGTGATTTCTTGCTTTCATTGTGCTCAATTAACAAGGTTACCCTATGTCAATTCACCACCCTATTCATGTACCTCCTCCTCAGTAAGACAGTTTGTTTTACACCACTACTGCTAGAAGGACAAAGCCCAGTTGCTGCATCAAGCACAGTCAGCTTTGGCAGAAGACAGAGGCTCTCTCTGATGACAGTACGAGCAGGTAGGAGCTCTCATGGCCATTCAGCTCCTGAGATGCCTCCAAGAAGTCTGCTCTTCACAGCAGCTGAGACACAGCAGCAGTGGTAAGGAACACAGCTGGATGTGTTTCAAAGACACAATCAGACTCTGGGATATTATCCTCCCACTCACCTAAAAAATCCCAAATGAAGACGTTCTTGAAGAGTCTCGGTGATTTAAATCCATGCTGGAACACTTGCTCGAGAGCTGAAACAAGTCCACTTTCTCCACACAGCAGCAGGGTCAGGCTGCCTCTCTGCCAGCACACACAGAAAGCACATACACTCATCACCTCGCTTTGGGACTCTGGGACACAAATGTCCCACTAAGTTTTTAAATAAACAGATGCCTAAAGTTCACATCTGCTGTCAAACAGTGACCCCAAACAGGACAGCCCAGTTCTCACAAGTCCTGAGCATTCAAAAATGGATTGACTTCTCTAAGAATGAGGCTGAGGAAAGCATTATCAGGGCCTTATCATCATCATCACCAAACAAAGCTTCAAGCAGGCCAAGATAATGAGCAGGATTTACCTATAATAATCACTGCGGAAAATTAGGAAAATATTTTCCTCTGTTTTTAAGCCACAAATGTCACAGACCCAGTGTAGCAGGGGCCTCTGATTACTTATCAACAAAAACAACATTTAATACTCAGTAAAAAACAAAGTCTTTCTTCAGCACATGATGGTAAATTCTATTCTGCAAAACCAGTGCATGACCACTTGAGATTATTACCAATGTGATCACTGACTAGAATTACCCTGGATATGAATCTGTCATGCTATAATGAATTTAGAAGTCAGGTGTTAGAGGAATGTAAAAAAATCCTGACTGTCAAGAGGCATCTATCCACATCCAGCACTGCTCTGCACCTCCCTGGCTCACGGGGCTGGACAGGGACATGCTACTTAGGTCTGTTTCAGAAAATCACTGCTGTGTCAGCTGCTTACATGTGTAATGCAGAAAAGTCTTGAAGAGCACTTCTGCTTCACTTTCTTGGGGTATGTGGATGTTTTCAGGGTGGCCTTTGTTTCTTTCCCATTTTTTAAAGTGGCCCATGGGCTTTCATGTTTTAAGTAGCAAGGATAATGTAAAACAGACATCGAAAACCTACTTAGAGCTCAATGCAGATATAAAATGTCAGTTAATTCAGAACAAACTAAACAGTAGGCAGTGCTCTTGACAGTAGAATTTGACTTGGTAGAATATGACTAATACCACAATTTCCAATACCAGAATGTTAACGTTTAATTTAACAAAATGCCCCAGTTAGCAGAAAAACACAGGTATTTGAGGCTGTACTATCTCAGTGGTGCAGTCTCAGTATCTCATTTTTGCTCCACTTCAGGAATTCTCAAGCACATGGCTGTTTATTCAGTTTAGTTACTTCTGCTGTATATTCTCTCATGTTTACTAATCAGAGTTTTAAGACAGGAGTGTCATTGCACAGACATCAACCCCTCACCTCCTTCTCTGGCTTGTGGAAATGCTTGACAATACCATTAACAGCTTCACCAATAGCTTCTTGTATCTGACCAGTATTTAGCTCTGCAAAACACAAAAATATATCCAGTTACAGCTTCAGAAATTGTACCTGTGTGTGAGGGTTATGGCACAGCACAAAGCACAGCAGAGGAGCACAAACAAATATAACTCATTCTGTTAAGGAAATAGTGCTGGGCTGTGGGTAATGGAAACCCAACTCTACATTTATTTGTTGTTGAGAAGGTAGGAATGGAGATGGTTTGGTTTTATACTGAAGTTAACACTGTGGTGTTTCAAAACACCAGTAGTGGAAAGGGTTTTTACACATTATGTGAATTGTCAGACCAGGACCCAAAGCCAAGAAAAGGAGCAGTGCTTTATTTAGGACTAACAAATCTGGGCATCCTGGAAATACTTCCTGTGGCAGTTTTGCTGCAAACCCAAGTATTGGTATGGTTGGGACAACAAAGTAACCACCTCATTTATCAGGAATAAGACAACAACAGAACACTGACCTCAAGAGAAAACAAAGAGAAGTCCATTAATAGAAACCACTAGCAAGATTCTTCATCCATGAAGGACAGACAGAGAAAAGGCAGCAAATTTCTACCTTCCTCCATAGCATTCATTCCACTGGTGAAGGACAATACAAAAAACATCACTGGGCCAGGAGCACAGACAGATCTGCCACCCTTTCAGATTTCAAATCTTAAGGAGACAGAACAAGATGCCCAGGATTATCATTTGGAAGTTAGCTGGAGTACAAGCAGGACACTGGACTGAGTTTCACAGGTCCTCTCCCAACTCCAGTTGTGTTTACAAGCCCTCAGGTGATGATGCAGAACGGGACAAGACAGGACAACCCCCAGCACTCACTTGGCTTATTGTTTGGTGAGATAGTGACAAATCTCCTGATCATGCTTGGAGACTGCTGCAGGGGAGGGGTTCGGCACTGCCGCTCATCAGCCTCAGTGTGCGAAGTCAGCAGCTCTCCCACCAGGATCCTCTCTAAGCTGCCATCATCCATTCCCTTCCCAAGCCACCTTCCACAGGGAAACCTAACAACATCAAGGAGATAGATCAATCCAGATTCAATTCCATGCCAAAGACTTTCAACAGTTGCCTAAAGCCCAAATCCTGCTAGCATAGTTATCAGAACGATTTCATTCATCCGGCAACAAGTAATGAAGTCTTGGCTTTGGCTTTTGCCAGCACAGGCAGCAAAAGTAAAACAGCTTTTCAGTTCCAAGTTTGTGCTGAGTGTTGCAGTAGATGATCCATCCACAAAGCAGATTTTGCCTGAGTCTCACATGTAGCATGTTTTGAGGAAAAATGGGTAAAAGGGTAAATCCTTACTACATCCCATAGATGGGTGAAGAAATACACTGAATATGCTACATAGCGAGCCAGCTATAGAACAACCCCACAGCCCAAATATATGCTTAAATGCCAGAACACCAGTACTTCTACTGAATTGGGATATTAAATCAGACACTAGAAAGCACACATGCTCATTTGCTGATTATCACTTTCTCTAAACCAATGTTGATGGCAGTTTAATCAGTTTAATTGGAAAATTGAACAGCATCCAAAAATAGAATCTTTCCTCTTCATTTAATTACAAGTGAACTGGCATGGAGACCTGAGTGGACTTACCCACCAATTTGACATCAACATGAGCCTGACAGTTTCCCTAAACAAAGGACAGGGCATCAAACTATGCTGTATCTAACACAAATAAATTTAATTCTCACTGTAAGTTTCATTCCTTTACTTTCCCATGTAAACACATGTTTCTAACACTCATAAGGCCTTGTGTTCCAGCTTGTGTCCAAAGGTGTCTCTATAACACCTGGAGTACCCACTCCTAATATAAAATACCACCTATATTTGGTAAGCAGCAAGCTCTGACTTGCTGATTCTTCCTTGGGCTCAAGGCAGATTATTTCTAAGCTGCACAACAGTCAACTCATCCTCTCCACCAACCGCCTGATGAGACGTGAACATCTGCAAACTGCAAACCCTGTTTGAATTCATAAGAACCAGCATTTGTTTAATGCCAGAAGCCAAACGATCTTTCTGTGCCTTCAGGTCGAGGCAACTGTAGACACAGAGTCCCAGGAGATCAGACCTTTCTAATCAAACAAGCCCTACTGTGCCAGCTCCCTGCAGGAATTCTACTTACCCCACACGAAATGCCAGGATGATACTTACTTGTAAGTATGCCCTGTTATTTCATTTCTGACCATAACATATTCCACAAGCCACTTGGCATACAGCCCTGAATTATCATGTCCTATTTGCACTGTGGTCAGTTTTCCCAAGTTCTGGCACTGCAAATTAAACAGAGTTTGTCAGAGGAAGCTGAAAGAAAGCAGCATGTTGGGGCAGAAAACTACTAGGGAACATGCTCAGACAAACTCAGACATGTGGTTCCTGTTTCTGACTGCATGGTTGGTTCTGGGCTTTTTAGTGGTAGGCAGCTTTACTTGGTTTTGTTTGTTTGCTTGTTTTGTTAAATACTATTTTGATCTGCACAGAGCACATCAGCTGAACTAGACTCTTGAATTCAATTTTACCCAATGGACACAACACACATGCAAAAATCAGAGCAGAATCACTTCTTTGTTTTGCAACAGAAGAGGATATGACACCTCCCACAGTTGTAACAAAGACAGTCTTGTCTATCCCTTGCACTAAGGACTGTCAGTCATTTTGCTCTGCATGCTATTAAATATAGGTTAAATGTTCTATGCACAGGCACAAGCTATCTGTGACTAACCACAAAGATAGGAAATGTATGGCAAGGTGGTACAACAGTAACGGGGAGAATTTAAAACTGAACAAACAGAACATCCAAATTGGGTTTTGTATCAAGTAACACAAACCTCAAAAGTCATTTCTAATATATTCCTGGGAATCTGCAGGACTCCTGTTTCACCCAGTTCTCCCGAAATACAGATCCAAGGATTGGCTGTGAACATTGAGCCACCAAGTTTCTTGCTGGGAACAATCAATATATGGTATGGTATCACTGCAAACACAAAAGAAAGAACACTTTAAAAATGAAGAAGAATAATTACGTAACCTCTTTAGTCAAGAAAGGGGCAAAAGATAAGTCATAAAACAGCACTGCAGTACCATAAAATGTTAAAAGAACATCAGAGATCCCATTTAATCATGCTAACACTTGCACACTAAGCACTGACTGAGAATGGGCAAGTGTACACATATACAGCAGCCACTAAGAAGCAGAGCTGACACCAAAACAGTGTCAAGCGAAAAAATAAATTTGGGTGGAATAATACCTTCTCATGAATGTAATCCCTTTTTATTTACCAACCTCACAACATGCACAAAGATGGTTACTTGTCCTCAGCCTAGTGACAAGGATATAAAGACATGATATTCCTGTAATGCACTGTAGCTCAGCACACTGTACAACTCTCCCAGGTCCCACTCAGGCACAAACTGCAGCCTTTCTCTACAGGCATGGATGGCAGCAGCATTCACTGCCATGGTTGAACAAATCCAGTGAAAATACAGCATAATGCTGCAAATTTCTCTCTACCATGTCACTCTTAGTCATGCTAACTTCAGGATGCATCAACTTCTTAAAAGAACAAGCAATTTTTTTCCCTTCTACATAGCAGCAGAAATATGCACAAATGCTTTCTGGTCACCTGGTTCACCTGTGATACTTCGTATCACCTGAGCTGCAGTCCCTCCTCTGACTCTCCACATGCTCTTCTACCACCCAGCACCTCCTGCCCAGCCCTCTGTTAACCAGCCTTTTATAATAAAATCCAATTCTCAGAGTGGTCACTGTGTTTCTTGGCTTTATGCCCTTCCTTCATAGTGCATAAGCAGATTATAGTCAGGGCTTTTCAGCTGAGGCATTTAATGCATTTCTCCCTCAACATCTCCTCAGCTGTCAGTGCCCTCGATAAAGCATTTGGTGGTTGGAATTTCTTAAAAGCCCATTTAAGAATGAATTAAAATGTTTCCCTTTTTATTTTCTGTGCTGATAGTCCTAAAGTAAGTGCCAATTTAACTGCATCCAGCAGACCAGATTTTCACATTATCCAGACCTTGCCTGCAAGACCAAAAGCTATTTTGTTTGGATGTCTGTTTGCCTTGTCTTTCATACACACAAGTATTAATCACAACACATCTCCAAGGGTAGTTCTTTCACATATCCCACCCCCAATTTCATAAGCCTTGCTAAAGTCTTTCCTTATTTTGCCTTCCCTGCTGTCCTGTGGGAGCAGGCACATAGACCTTAGAGAACTCTGTAAAACAGTTAAGTGTTATAGTTATCAACAATAGCTTAGAAGTTTCTCTAGGGTATCTTTTTAACAACTAGAAGAAAAAAAAAATGTTGAATAGTTATGATGCAACCCTCAATGGGCATTTCATTGTCAACCCAAACCCAGAGACAGGCATGCAACAAAGTAGCCTGAGCACAAAAAAGGAAATGTTTGTTTTCCTTTAATTCCCAGCATGCATTAATGTTATTGATACTGAAAAACCCATCCTTTTTATTTATTTTATCTATTTATTTAGCATCATGCAAACAAGTCCACGGCAAAAATTTCAGCTGAGAACTCACCTCCAACTAAAATTATTAGAGCTATGTATTTTACTGAATTAGAAACAAAAGTGACAGAGACAGAAACTCCTGCCCACCAGAGAAGATCATGGAAACAGCAATAGAGCACGCACAGATGGATCCCAGGGGAAAAAAGCAGAACAATTACATTAGGGCATGTTGCTCAGAGCTGCTTAGGATTTTGGACAAGGACTCAACCAAATCTAGAAATCAGAGTTGCAGGGAAAGCAAATACTTACAGATTGTTGTGAAAACATTGGTAAAGCAAAAGTAATCAACGGCATTGAATGAGAGGAGATGATACAAGAACTGTTCTTTCTCATCATCGCAGCGGAGGAATGCGTAACGCTTGTAGAGTTTTCTGACAAAGCAAAACACAATCTGTCACAGCAACAAGATGCTTCCAGTGAAATGTTTTCTACTGTGCAAATTTATTAGGTACACTATGAATAATGGGCAAGGAATTACAAATGAGAAGTGATACTGGGAGAGTCAAGGATTTTCAGTGTGCCAAGATACACTGAGTCTCTGCAAGGCTGACATTTCCAAAGTGAATCAGTCCAGTTCTCATTATCTTCCACCCTTCAAATGTAACATTTGGTTTAAGGGTCTTCTCCCATCCAAAAACACCCCAAGATGGAAAAGGAATTTTGCACTTTCTTGAAAAAAACTTGACTTCTTTTGACCATGTAAAATGACAGAAGTGAAGTCAAGAAAGTTCTCTTAAGTTACTCCTGAGCAGAAGGTGCCATGGGAGAGTTCTCCAGCACATGATGTATGACAGAAGACTGTTCTCAAAGGACATAAGACAAAAACTGGGGCTATCTGCTTCTATTTGGCTATAGGTGATCACCCAGGGGCTACAACAACCTGCACATTAATACAGGGAATAGTTCCAGTGTTGATAGTACACAGCTCCCAACATAACCAAAATGATAAGCATGCAAAGGTGGCAACCAATAAATAACACAAATGTTGGGCATAATCATAAAAGAAAAGCATGCCAAAATATATCAAAATCCAACTGATGGTGCAGGAATTCCTAAACCCTCCAGAATGCAGGGATTAGATATGAGAAATGCTGACCCAGCCATGGATAGGTTGTTCCTGCCAGGAGGTCATCCTGACAACTCCCCTCCATTTCAGGTATCAATTTACAAAAAAGTCAGCAAGTCACAAGACAGAAACTTGCAAAACAAATCAATGATAATCAACATACAGGCATGTTCTCACATAACAAACCTGATACTAGAGACTGACAGGAAATGTTCAAGGAAAATAGACTGAGCCTTAAATTAACCTAATCTGCCTATAGCCACAAGAGTGGCAAAGCCACAAAAGTCTCACAGATGCCCATGTCTGTGGTTCATCTGCACAATCTGAATCACATGTTTGACAGCCTGTCAGGGTATGTGCTGTCCTGTCTCTTCAAAGGGTAAGGTTTCTCTGTTTTCCTGGGCACATAAAGGTCTCAGGACATGTGATTTCTCCCTGTTCCCTTTGCAGACTAGAAAGAAACCAAACATGGAACATTTTCCTTACATTTGTTAACAAATGTCAAGTAAAGAGAATGGGATAATTAAAATACCTAACAGCTGCTTCATAAAAGAACAACACACAATCTTGTGAACATTTTACAATGGCAGAATTTGCACCATTACTTTAAGTACCTCACTGAACTCAGCACTGCTTCCTCCAAAAGCAAATGGGGCACACTTTCAAACCATACTGCCTACAACAGCTCTCTAAGTAGGATATCTAAATATGCAGCACAAAGCACACAAGATTACAGAGAATTGATGTCATCCTGTACAAGTTGCTCCTTTGTCTGTTATTTTCATTTTAAACATGCTTTTGCTGCAGTCTCCCTCTGTTCAGGAGAATCAGAATCTGCCTGAGAGATGAAGAGTACAGTGGCCAGTGTTATGAGGTTTCTTCCTTCTCTTTTGTGGGGGTACATGGAGTGTGGTGGTGTGTGGAAAGTCCTCCTACAGCATGTGTTCTGCATGGGACAAGCACTGCTAAATTTAACCTGATCTGAACTGTTGACTTCACTGGAGGGGCTTAACCTTAATTTGGACATACAAGATTTATTAGCTGCCCTCACTCCATCCTTCAGCTTTTCCTTATTCACCGAAGGCCACAGCTTCATCAGAAAGTCCAACATAATATAAGACAAGCCAAATCTCAAATAATTAGCTGTTGGGGTTCAGGGGGACTGGGGAAGAAATTCCTTGAAAGATGATGAGTGGAAGGAAAGGAAGAGCAGACAGCATAGGTTAAGCTGTCTCCAGACAGAAGTCTTCAATTAAAATTCATTACAATGGCTTTAATTTCCACACAGTAAACACTGTATGTGATTATTATGAAAGCAAATCACCTTATGGTCGCTGAGCAGGCTCTAAATGTAAAAACACATGTCAAGAACCCCAGCATTGAATCCTAATTCCCAAACAGCTCACACACTTGGAAGACCAGTTTGTTCCATGCCTTCTGCACACTGCTAAGCAGATGCAAAAATAGGCACACCTGGATTTTTGAAACCAAACAATTATATAAATTTTGGTTTTTTTAAAAAGTTTTGACCAACATAACCCATCTTACTTTGTGAGTTCATGATCTGAAAGCAACTGTTTCAGATGTCTAGAAAGCAACTTCTTTTCCATAGACAGGCGAACCCAGGCTCTGGCCTTGCCAACATCTGTTTTGATCTCACTTATGTTCTGGATATGCCTGGAGAAAAAAAAAAAAAAAGAAAAAGACATGCCTTGGTATTGTCAAAGCATGACAGCTCTTTTGAACCAAGCTCAGCTGAAATTTTCCAAATAACACAAAATTATAGGTAAATTGTAGGAAAAAGAAACATAATCACCTTAATATTCAGCACAAAAAAAAAAAAATCCCTGCAATCTAGCTCAAAGAGAATAAGAGCCTGAAAAGGAAATATCTGCAATGCAGTGCCCTATTTACAAAATTCTAAACCAGGCCCATCGTCTCACATGATTTAGGACTCATTCTGGACCTTATCACTGCAATATTTATGGCTGAATGCTTTGGAAAATTAAATACTGTCTTTGCATGCTCAGTAGAAGCTTTTCCTGCACACAAGGCACAAATGGTATATTTTAATAAGGCAGGCAAATCCTCAATTCACTCTTCCCTGCTGAAAAAAAAATGGATGCTGTAAGGAAAAACAAGGAAAAGACAATTCCTGCCAAGGTTGTTTCAGAAGTTCTGCATATTGCTTTTTCAGTGTACTGAAAAGAAGGCACTGGGCAGAAGTTGTAGTTTCATTCACACTCCAGTACTGAATGTTAGATAAACCCATTCTTTAGACCAAACAAGTCCTTTAAACTGTGTTCTTTCCTGAGAAGCAAAAGTGGTCTCAGAACTACACAACTAACTTAGCAATGACTGGGAAAACACAAACACTACACCCACACCTCTGTGAAAATAAACCAATACACAAAATGTTAAAAATATGAAAACTCTGTCATGGTATTTCCATAAGTTAATAGCTTTGACAATATAAAAGCTCCTCAGTATGAAACCTGTTTGTGTAAAGGTTAATGAAAATGCTGAACTATCTCCTTTAAAATAGTTCATCAGGTTCCTTCCCCATAGCCCCTCCTGCTGCTGCATGAAACACAGGATGGTGCACAGTAGACACAGAACAAGCGTGCAGATCTCAGGGGGTTCTGGGCTGTTTAACAGTTCAAACTCACCTCATATCCTGGATGAGAGAGATTCTGAGAGGTGACATGGCTGGACTTGTATCAGACTTTCGTCTTTCTGAATCGAGAAGTATTCCTAGATTCAGAAGAAAACAATTTCCTGTTAGCAGAAATCCATCTAGAGATTCTACAATCAATACAAAAAATAAGATGAATCAACACCAATTTGCACTCTTGTATTACTGGTGACTCTGTGAAGGTAATGTGGTGTATTTCCACTCCAAATTACAAAAAAATCTAATATGTTACACAGATGGCTCTAAAGCTCAGCACACACTGAGCACCAATACATTATTGAGCTTAGGTTCAGCTGAAATTGGTATCACATCAAATGGCTTAAGACATAGAGTAATCAAACATTATTTTCTGAAGACTACCCTGTTTTCTTGCTGTGCAGTAAGTGGCACTATTGACACCAGAGACCAGTGTTAAATATGTTGTACTCAGTACACCACACACCCTGTCCTTACTGAGCTATTACTTTGCACACTTCTGTAGCACCACTACTTTTTAAATATCACATTTTGGGGTTTTCAAGCAATATTATTACTTTTATCTTTCAAATTAAACTCCAGAATGAAGTTCTATGTTGAATGCAATCTCTGCCCTCAATCCCAAATTAGAAAGCATGGAATTAATTGTGACTTATTCTGATACACAAAATCACTATGAACTAAGGGACATTCAGAAGACTAAAATTTCCAGATCTATGGTTTTGATTGCTTACAAGATCTTCGCAACATTCTTTGTTCAAATCTTTGCTTACAGCAGCTTTTAATAAAAAATAAAAGACACCCACTGCCTCCCCAAACTTATTCTCTCCAAAATTTCTATCCTATGCCCCTACCTGACACAAGAAGCAATGTTTAAAAATTACATTAATAATCCTAAAAACATATTAACAGTGGATCTTACGCAAAATATTGCTGCTACTGCAACAAAAATTAAAATATGTTTCTTCAGTTTAAGTTTTTAACAGTAAGCCTCCTGCTCAGTTGTTTATCAAGCCATTATGTAAAACTTCAGGTGTACAGCACAATTTTCTGTGCTTATACTGCTCTTCCATCCTGATCCATAACATCATTTGCTCTGCCAGTCATGCAGGGCCTGTGTGTCTCATGGAGGATGATGCACCAGAGCAATCCATTTCAAAGCCTGTCTCTGAGGCATCAGCTATTTCTGGGTTTCTGACTACCATGGTACTCAGATCCCAGACCCAAACAAGTGGGCACAATGCAAACCAGTTTATTTTTCATAAAACATACTGAGACAACATACCAGGCCCATATTAAACCTGTAGTAACCATAATATTTGATTCAGTTATATTGAGTGAAGGGTATTTCCAAGGGAAAAACACTCTTCATGGTGTAAATCTGCAGGCAGCTCTTACTCACAGCTTTTAATCACCTTCTTCCAGCAGATGCCAATCTTACCTGAGGTACTGAAGCTGCCTGATGTGGTTCTTCTTTGTCTGTTTTCTAGGTAATGTAACAGATGAGACCACAATGCAGACTTTCCCTAAAATGAAAAAACATTAGTTAAAGAAATCACTACCAGTTGAATTAAAAAAAAAAAAAAAGTTTAAAACATGATTGAAAGTATCAGCCATGACAGAGACTTGCTTTAAAGATGTTTCTCCCTATAAACTCAATGGTAAAAAACAAAAGTAAGACAAAAGTGGGAGGTGCTTGGGAGCTGTAAAGAGGCTGAGAAGGAAACGCAAGAGTCAGACTACTGTGATATAATGATTCTGGTAACAGCAAAAAGTCAGTGGAACTTTTTCCCTCTCAGTTCATTACCATGACAAGAGAACACCCATTGTAAAATGCTGTGGAGTTTTAAATCTGAGGCTGTGACCTGTCCTGTGGGTCTCTCCCTGTCTCTCCAGCAGTGAATGACAAGGGACACAGAGCCAGCCTGTGCAAGACACACCCGGGCCAAGTCCTGCTCCCCTCAGAGTAATTCAGGGCTAAGGATAAATGCTGCCCATTTTTAGAATCTCAAAAGATTCCCCTCAATTTCATCAGGTAAAGCATCTGCATAATCACAAACACAGTAAGATATCCCAAAATACAAGTACGACAGTGAAAGCTTATCAGCAAAAATACCCCAGCAGTTCTACACATTGTAAAACCAATTGAAAAGTTAGAACTTGGGATATAATATTTAGGCCAAGTTAAATCCATCATATAGTGTTAAAAGGTGCACCTTGCTTGTTATGTTGCTTTCTTAAATCCCTGGTGGCTTAAAACAGAGGGGGAGAAAATCTTTCACTGGGAAATGATAAAGATTCTTGGATTAATCATAAAATATTTCACATAATAAAAAAGCTTGCAAAGCTGCAGAAAGGCAGCAGTAAGCAACCAGAGGCTCTCCAGCACATGAATTGGAATTACTTACAGATAATTAGTATTACTTATCTTCCTAAAGTACTGTACTAACCTGAGATGCCAGTAAAGATCAAGCAATTCTGCATTTCAGAAAAGCTGTCATATTATGAGGCCATATTTTTATTTACAGCTTTGTGCAGAAAGAAGCCATGACTGTGAAGCCAATAATTGTCAATTCCACACTATCAATTTCATCTAAAATTATCTAAGTGCCTTCCCAGAAATGCAGCAAACATAGTTCGTCTTTAAATTCTTTTTTAAACTATATTTAAAAATCTTTAACCATTTCCATCCTATAGCTCCCTGCAGTTGACATAAAGAACTATTGACCATGAGGGATTATTTCAGAAGTGGCACGCCTCCAGAAGAATAAATCCTGGAGTGTCTGTAACATCTGTGATGATAGAAATCTATTAAAAATATGCATTCAGTGGTGAGGATATAAAAAAAAATCCATTGTGTCTTGTGTGTACCTGACAGATCCAACATGGAAAGCCAAAACTGCAAGTCTTATTATAAACAGATAAAAAAGAACATGAAGGTATCACCCAGCAAAGAGTTACATCCAAAACTGTGGTTTTTTCCCCAATAAACACACACATGCACACACAGTCTAGTGTTCAGCAACCAGCTGCCATGGCAAGGAGAACTGCAACAGATCACAGAAAGCAGCAACAAAGGGTCCTGCAGCAAATCAATGCCAACAACCACGATGAATGTGAGGACTCATGCAGTGTCTGCCCACTCTTCTGCACCGTGGGCCTCTCCTTTAACTTCACCAAATAGCAATGATGAGGCAAGCTGGATCTATAAGGGGAAGGAAGACAGCCTAAGGAAAGTAGTGGGATAGAGAATGGGCAAGGGAATAACCAAAGCCTTCTGAAAGTCCAGACTACTTCAGTCATTAGATCCTACATCACAACTCTCCTGCGTTGCTCGGGACAACGGAAGGCATGGATTCCCTTTGCATGTGGAAAAATCAGTAGGTAGCTAATGTAGGACTGCTGGGGTTCATCAGCAGGGAAGAGGTAAAAGCAGGGATTGGTGGAAGGAAAGCCATCCTCATTACTATGGTCAGTTGAGAAAGAAGAGTCTTCCTTGGCTCATTATTGAAAAATAAAATAAAATCAATGTATGAAACAGTAGGCTTTTCATATTTCATAAAGGCCAGAGCACACAGAACTGGTGGTGCCTTTTTACTTTTTTTTTTTTAAACTCTGGATCATACTATGATATACACTGCACTTCCTCCATCAGGCCTCTATTCTATTCCACCACTCTATTTATTCCACCATTCAGCACTGCTTGCCAACATCTGCAATCAATCCAAAGCATTAACCTTATGAAGGGTTGGCCGTCTGGTGGTCTGAAAGGCCCAAATCTGGGTTGAAGCAGAGTATACTGATGCTCTGTCTTCTAAGACGAAAGCAGTACAGCTTCTATCCTAAGTGATATACAAGAGGGAAGGGAGAGAATCACATGATAAATCTTCACATAGAAAACTTGTATAGTTTGAAGGAGAGCAGAATTAAACACTGGTGTTTGGCTGCTGGGAACAGAGATACTGGATTACAGTTGTCTGGATTATGAACATATATTCTTAAAAAGAAAGGAAGTTATCATCTTCTCCACTCTTGCTACTCCTTTGTACAAAGGAGAAGTCAAGTTGGTAAAGGCCCTCCAAACTCCATCTTGTCCCACAAGTGACTCCAAACAGAAGAGCAAAACAATTATTCATTTCATACAAAACCCCAACACCTCTAGCTAGTGATCTTGTAACCATAATTTAAGTACCCTGCATTACCCAAAGAACCAAAATAGCAAGACTGTTACTTTGAAGTACTAAATTATCCTTCAGGAAAACAATTCCCCCCATCCCACAGAGAGCACCTTTAGGACAGGTTGCTTTGTAGCCTATGCAACTTCATTAACAAAAATATTAAGAACACAGCAATAGTTTGGGTTTTTTTACCATCCTATTAAAGAAAACTACCAAAAGCCACCAAACCAAATGAAAACCCCAGGTTAAATGGAGAGTCCTCCAAGAAGTTATCTGTGGAACACATCTACAGGTACACTTGCACATATCCCACAACATGGAGACAGACAGGGGATAGGAAGTGACCTAAGAAAGACTGAAGGGCACACGAGTATTTTAACATCTCCACATACACACTGAAACTGTCCTCTGAAAGCAGAGAGAGGAACAGCATAATACAACTTCAGGAAAGTGTGCTCTGCAATGTACAGGAATATTTATGCCTCACCTGTTTGACTTGCAGACCGTGGCTCCATATTCTTTCTAGGAGGTCACACAGACTGGCTATCAGGGTGTTCTCCTCCACTCCTGTGATATTTACTTCACCATGACCAAGCTCCACAGCTTCTCGACCCATTTTCTCAACCAACATCCTCTTAGTCTCAAAAAGGACAAGGTAAAAGTGAGGTAAATCTCTCCCAGGAATTTCCAAGATCACTTGCATTTTTTAAATGACCAATAATTGACATGGTAACAAAGTTTTGGCAGAATAACTGGCTGTATATATGTATTTCTGGCATTAGTGCAGACCTGCCCTTCTTTTATCTCCGGTTTTCAAGCCAGGACAGCACCAGTGCTCATCTTCTGTTTTTCTAAAAAAGGGTTTGCAAACAGGCACATCATCTTCCACAGAGTAACCCCAACAAAAGGAACAGCAGGTCACACATTAACAAGATGGATGCTCAGCAGCAAGGCCACAAAACACAGATCTTGGGTACTTTGGTGAGTACTGGATGCACTCCCCAAAAGCAGGACACTTTGTCCACCTCCTCTCAGGGGAGGTGAATGCACCCAAGTGTCTCCAAGCAGCATGGGTATGTCGTTCCTGGGTGATGCTGTTCTGCCAGAAGGGCATTTGGATTAACCCAAACTCATTCTGGAGTGCACCTCTTAAGCTTCCCTATGAGCCACATTCTCCTAAACTGTGCACAATTTCATACAGGCCAACAAAGCTTTCACCAGCTCCTGAAGTAGTCTTCCAGTCACAATATATTCATCATACAGCTAACTGGAGGAAAAAAATGGTGAGGGAATCAGTTCTACTCGTCTCTTACACATTTTTTCACCTTTGTTCCTATTCTTTCAAATGAAGAATACTCCCTTAAGCACCCCTGCACAGTCTTGCTGGAGATTAAGAAGTCCAAGTTAGTCCCTAGCTGCTTCTCCCCCTCACTCCCTCTGGCAATTTCTCACTGTCACAGAGCCAAGCCAATATTCAAAAATTTTCACCATCTATTGTGCCCCTGTTAAGGAATGGGGGTTAGCTGGACAGTTCCATAAAGTTAAATCAGAAGTTGATGCACATATTAAATAGAGTTTTATGAAAAGTTGTATATAGTACCTCCACTGACTTTAGACAAGAATGTGTCTATTTCATAATTATTCTCTTTGCTGTATTTTTATAAACATGAACATTTGCTTTAGATTAATATGTTGTCAAACATATACTGGTGAAGCATGTCTACAAATTAAAGCCAAATTTCTTCATTAAGTGCTTAAAAACGTACTGCTCAGAAATATCCTTATGAGAAAAGCTGCTTTGTTTTCCCCACAAGCCGCTTTTGGAGTATTCACTCCTGTTGAAATAGTACTGTCTCATTAGTTATAACTGAAATGTGCTATAATAGACTTGGGCAGCAGGATGGTAAAGACCCTTCAGAATATTCAATCCCTATCATAAATCTGCTTGATAAAGTCTCTGCTCCTTGCAGAATTTCTGAATACATTATCTCTTCATTTATTTCTCACCACCATGCAAAAATCCTTATAGGGATAAAGCAGAAACAGATGGCAGAAAAGTGGGGGGGTTCAAACATCCTGGATACAAAATGATCCAGAAAGGATGGATATGAGGTGCAGGAGAGTCGAATTATTCTCTTTTTTACCTTATTTCTGCATTCCTTCAACAAGCCTTCTACAAACTTCCAGTTTGTTTGTGCAATTACTGATGGAGAGAGGTTAGAGAGCTTGGGCTGTCGGATGGTGCTGCCCAGGTTCCTGGCCTCTTGGATGTATTTCTGGATTAGGGGAGAAAATGGACACAGAAAGAAGTGCAAGTGAGGCTACTTAGCTGAGAGAAAAAGGTAAACTTATCTTTATAACCCCCACCTCTGGAGTGAGGAGGAAAGATCTCCTCTTTCAGAAAAGGCCCCTTTTTATATTCAGCATTATTTAGGACTGAGAAACTTAAACTGCTTTTTCACCAGAGGTCAAATCCCCATTTATATTGTCTACACAGTATTAGAACACACGTTGCTGAATTACAAAAACACAATACAAACTGCTGAGGATATTCAGATGCATAGAGATTCAACTACTCCTTGCACCACTGCCAATTGTCTATTTTTTTTTTTTTTTTATTCAAATGAAAATTTGCAAAAACTACCCAGACCAAGACTATTCAAGTGGCAGACTGGTCTACATGGGGACTGCAAGAAAACTTTGCTCTTTCAGGAAGCAGCTGCAAAATGCAAATGATAGCAACATCTCTCAGCTGTGAAACAGCTGTATTTTTGAGGAAAATCATTTCCTGAACCCACTCTACTTGAAAGAGCTCTTCTGCTCCTATTACTGCCATCAAGGAGTTGCCATTGTTTTCACCCCAGAGACAAGAGTGATACAACAAATATTTTGGAAGCCAGGTGATCTCAGGTTGGTTGGGGCACAGCTAAATGAGAATTAGTGATAGAAAGTCCTGTATAGGCATTGATGGAATACTCAGTATTAGTATATATATCAAATTGACAGGGAAACTCTCTAGCTCATTGAAATAATGACCAGCTGAAATGTCAGTGAAGAGATCTGTCAAATACAACCAAGAGGGAAAATCCCACCTTTTCCACTGGCCTTGCACTAAAGAACTGTGATATATACATTTAATTATGCATCTTTATCCAGAACTATGATTTCAGTCATATTGTGCATTGGACATACCAGGTAATGCTCTGACACAGATTTTATAGAAGGCATGAAGGGCCAATCATGCTGGTCCCAGTCTAAACATAACTGCAACTGAAGCTCTGACATGGAAAAGTCCAGGTGCTGGCAGGATAAGTTGGTAGCAAAAAGCCAAGCAGATGTAAAGTGAAAGTGGTAAGACATATGAAGTAATAAAAGCAAACATGCAAAACAGAAAAGAGTGAAGACATAACAGTGCAGAACTCCCAAGCATACAACATAAAAATAAATTCATAAGTAATGAATCTGAAAGGAAAAAAGAAAAGATGGTGTTAAATCAGTGGCTTTGTGTAAACTCTGCCCTCCACTGGGCACAAATGTTTGCAAGTAAAAAGTCTCCATTGCACGGATTTTCAAGCTTCAATTAGTTTAAAACTGCCAATGCTGCAGTTTGACACTTCCTGCTCAGCCTGGCCCCCAGTGCTCATCTCAGAAGAGCTCCCTCCCCACTCTCAAATTTACTGGAGAGCTCTGAGGTTCACTCAGAGAAGGGATCAATGTTCAATCACCGTTATGTCATCAAAGAGGTACAGCACAAACCCCTAAAACAACAGCACCGTTCCCACTGGCACTTGGCACCCCCAGGTGAGCATGTATTTCAAAATATTTATTCCTCAGATTTTTTTTGCCTTTTACAACAGAATAACTCCTATAGAAAATGAATATGTGAGGAATCAGTTTAAAAACAAAACAAACAAAACACACCAGAGACCACAGGCAGATTTTTGCCTTTGTAATTAGCTCAAAAGTTTACATGCTTTAACAATTGTGTTGTTTAGCACAGTAATGAGGTTAGAAATCAACTACTATTCATTTCTGTTACATCTAAGAAAAAAGCACTTTAGAGGTAGCTGAGCATATGGAACATGTCAAAACCAGAAACTACTGGTAGAGGTTTTTTATTATGCAGACATTTTTCTGTTACATGGTTATGGATGACAGAGATGACACTATAATTCAACAAAATTTTAACAAACCAGTAAGTAAATTCCGGAATTGAGTACACTAGGAAGATAATTAAATCCATCACTACCATAAAAGGACAAACTGAACAAACACACTCGAGTTTCAAAAACACTATCGTAACAGACACAAGACTACTAAAACTCAAAATTAAGCTTTTCTAAGGATATTTAACAAGGCAAGAGAATATTGCTTTCAATGAACAACACACAAACAAAAGCAAAACTCTGGGGTTAGTAAACGAACAGAAATCCTCTAATATTTTGAGCCAGTCTATTCTTGGAATTACCCATAAATCAACACCTGGTGTAACAGTTTGCTGTCTGTACCATACAAATCAGAAACTGTACTGTGATTAGTTCACCTCACCCAGATCTTTCAAAACCACTTCACCACAAAGAAAAACTGTGTCAGCTGTAGGAGCAGTTGTAAGAGATGTTATCAGTTCAGAAGGTGGTCAGACTGCACTGTGTAAAAACAAGCAGCCACAAAAGTGACAGTGTGGGTGGGCTTCTCACTCTCACCTTAGTAATGAGGTTGTCTCTCACTTTGTCACCTTATTATGGCCTACAGAAGACACTTAGGCCAAAAGGCAATGCTTCTGATTTCAGGATGAAATTAACCTCTCTAGAGGTGGTTATCTTTCCTCCATCAAATACACAAAAGAAGCATAGGGTGACTAAGTTATTCAGAGATGGGAAATAGATAGCTGAAAACTCTTCCCACTCATCCCCTTTAAAACAAAAAAAAACCAGAACAACTCAAAATAATGTGACTGTGTTTTCAGAGAACTCTCCTATATATGGGATGAAATAATTTTGTCCTGAGAAGGGGCAAAAATGACATAACTTTTATAATAAGAAAATTAAGTATTTTTGGTCTGCTACTTCATTTGTATTAAACACACTTAAGGGAGAGCAGACATGAACTGCAAGTAACTGTCTAGACATTTCATAAAGGTTGCAGAGCATTTCTCAGGCCATTAGGAAAGAAAAAATCAGATCTCTAGAGCTGAGCAATTTTCACCTCTCTCTGGTCATTGTCCAGACGCAGGTGCTCTGTGTGCTGCTTCTGTCTGTCCTTGCGCCTCCACTGAGCAGGAGCATTCCTCTTTGTCCACCTGCACGTGGGGAAATAACATCAGCCAAGTGTCAGGAGGCAGGGAAAGGGCAGAGGCAATCAGAGCTTTCCACTTTATTCTATACATTCTACACACGCTGAACATGCTGACAGCAGTTACATCAGCCAAAGCGCAGCTGCAAGCACACACAAAGAATCTCTGGAATATTGGGCAACCAAAATGTTTTAGAATATTAGATCACATACATTTGCTTTGTATTTTTTCTTTTTTTTTTTTTTTTTTTTTTTTTTTTTTTTTTTTTTTTTTTTTTTTTTTTTTTTTTTTTTTTTTTTTTTTTTTTTTTTTTTTCACAATTCCAAGGACAATTTAAGCCTTGCCTCTCGTCCTTCAAGGTTTTTAAAAGAAATATCCTAAAATATTTGCTAGTTCCTACATAAGATCAAATAAGGGGATCTGCTTTTATAATGACAATAATTGAAAGTAACTCTAAGTACACAAACTATAACTTCAAACATAAGAGAGCTTTCTTCAGTAAATTTGCTTCAAGAAATCCATATTTAAAAAAGGAAAAAAAAAACAAAAAAACCAAACTGGACAGCAAAAATCCCACCCCACAACATCTGATCTGCTCCCACTTGAAAAAAATACACACAAAACTGACTTTGCTTTCTCAGATCTCTGCTTTAGTGCCATTCTATAGATCTTACCAAGATTCAGCACCTGTTGCCTTAGCTTACTTACTTGTTGCTTGCTGGGCCAGTGGATAAAACATCAGACTGAAGCTTAGGAAAAAATCCAAGCTCGTATTTCCCTTGTCCAATTTTCATGTCCAGCAAGTGTGGGTGAACTGCAGTGTGATCTATTTTTGCCAGCCTTAATTCAATAGATTTCTCTGAAATAGTAAGAAAGTTAATTTTTAAGGTGTTTTGATCAGACATGTATCTATAATCACGTATCTTCAATAAAAGCAGATGTCAAATTAAAGAAAGAGGTAGAAGTTGCTTACTGATTTCAACAGGGACATTATTAGTACAAGAGTGTTTCTGACATTAAAGAATGGCACCAATAGGAGAAAAATGTTTATCTTCTTAAGCTCAGACATCTTTCACACACCAACCAGGAAAACATCTGAGCTCTACTTTACATGAATTTCATCTCACATCTCAACATCACAGAAAATGTCTAGTCCTCTGTTTGAGCTTTACATCTGTATTTTGGTCAATTTTTTTTTTTTTTTTGAGGTTTCAAAGCATCAATCATTACTTAATCTAATGTCTACAACCAACAGCACTGACCAGTTGCACTAACTGTCAAGTTCATGGTCCTTACCAGCCTCATCAATGGTTGTGCACTTTTGATACATAGATGTGCGCAGAGTCGGTGTCCTGACATTCAGCAGCCTAATTTTATCCACCCTAGAATCAAAAACTCTCAAAACAGGGTCTTTGTCATCTTCATCATGGCACATAATCTTATTGTCAATGAAGGATGCAAACATCTGGGTCTCCAGGAATCTTGAGAGGAAGGGCAAGTAAGGTTCAGGCTGGTCGGACAAGAAAGAAGCCTAAGAGACAGAAAGAGATAGGAGTGTTTGGGAGTCTGCAAAGAGAGAGAGACATCCACCAGAAGCACCAATTTTTCTGATCAAGGATATATGAGTGTTTTGGTGCCACTTAAAAACTGTTTTTATTATACACATCAATTCTGTCCCCAAAACAGGCAGTCTGCATGAAATTTTCAGCATCAGTACTATCACCTACTGTATAGCACAATAATTGGTACATTGTGATTTTAGCATTTCCTTCATCTTCAAAAATTTTAACAGGATCCCAGCAAACCACACCATCAGTACTGCAGGTGTGCATATTTGGTACTTCTGGCTGGGCTCACAGCTTGTGAAGTCAATGGGAATCTTTTCATACAACTCGGTGGGAATCAGATGAGTGTTTTAGCAGACAGTGCTGCAACAATCTTCACCCATGTGAACTCTCCTGCTGACAAATATCTCCAGCAAAGTGCAAAATTTTCAAGAACTAGGTCTTATGTTTCTCTACAAAAGAGTTAGGAATACATTTGGTACACATGTTAATAAGCATTATTTGGGGTCATGACTTAATTCATTAACATATTTGGCAATTCCTCTGGTTAAAAATCAAACAGTTTCCACTAGTCATATTTAACCTTGATGTGGAGGTTAGCCCTAAAGTGAGGCTTTCTATGCTATTTTTCTAGGGCAAGCTGCATTTTTCTACAGTATCCTTAAAATAGTATCTTTAGCTCTCCAAATCTGTATCTGTATATATTTCTCCACATACTAAGATGTGACTTTTTTTGGGAACACTAAAATTTAAAGAAGAAATTACCATTTTGACAGTAGTTTTCCATTCGATGGCCCAATACACAAAGCCTTAAGTTTGAATACTGTTTCACCTCTTATATTGATGTACCTTTTTATTACAACTTACTTTATCGAAGTTTTGCATCTGTTCTCTGTTTGTAAACCAGGATTCCTTGTCCTGACTGGGCTGGATGACAAACACTTCATAATCTGCAAACATTTGTGTGAAGCGGTTGGCAAAAACTTCCCGAATCTGAATGTTCAGCTGGTAAATCTTGAATTCTTCTTCATCACACTGAATTTTAAGATCCTTTTTGCTACTGGTCTCTTCTCGCACCTCCAGCTGTAAAAGTAAGGGAAAACACAAATAATTTGCATTGATGCTTTGTCAGGTATTCCAGGCACACAAGATTTTTATCTGCCATTCAGTTGCTACTCTTCAAGCCTACATTTCAATAAAGAAAAATACTTACTGTTTCAATTACTGCAATAAAACAGCAAAATCAAGAAAATCCAGACAGAAACCTTTGCCTTGAAAATTTCTCATAATAAACCAAAACTTACTTCAGTACTGTTTGCACTGGATATGTTTTAGATTTAAAAAGGGTAAACAACAACCATATATATGTCCATGGATACCACAGACTTAAATTACTTTCTCTTACCCTTCAATAACCTGCATAGGCTTTTCAGAGGTTCTTATTACCCCTAAAGATTTGCATATTAGGCAAATCTATATGTGGTGTCAAACAACTCCAGGTTTAGAACTGCTAAATACATACCAGCTTTCAAATGAAGACAGAAATGCACAGTAACAAGAAGCTGAGCATGTCTAGCAGCCAATTGCCTGTAGCCTAAACGCTTAGGAGTGTAAATCACAATTCCCCACTACATACCTCAGAGTAATCTTTCAGAAAAGAAAATGCATTTTCAATTAAGAAGTGGGCTAAAATTTATGAAAAAAAGCAATAAAATTAAGATATTCAATTCATAGGGGGAAAAAATCACCAATAGTGACAGTCTTCACTACATTCCACAAAACCTCAAAAAACTTCCAGGTCTTTCAGGTAGTATATTTTATGCACAAAGGGCTGCAATTTGTTTTTTGTTTCACAATTCTAATCGCTCAAAAAATGCAATGAGGATCACCATAAGCTGTGCATGTCCACTTGCTGGAATCAGACACTCCTGGACACTATAACATTAACCAGAAAAAAGCATCACAGTAACCCCATGGCAAATATATTACATATAAGCAAAAAAATATATCTATTCTACACAGAATGAAAAAGGTATCTATAGAAACCAAGACTGGATGCAAAGTTCAGCATTATCTAGATGTCAATTTTAGCCACTTAATTCATTAGTGGTGACAATTTAGCATAAATCTTAAAGTCAAGAATAAAAAGGGAAACATGCTATTTTTAAACATATTATCTTGGTAAATAAACACTTGGTGGATAGCAAAGGTTTTCCCAGATGCTACAGGGTTAAATCCCATTCCCTCTCTCCGCTAAGCTTGTCCTTGTCTCTACAGGTGTCCATAAAGTTTGAGAACATGTTGACAGAAAGTTCCTTCTAGAGAAGACAGACACACAGCATCTTTGGACCATGACTTCAGACCATCTGCCACTGCAGGACCAGAGAGAGTGCAGCTCATTTCGTATCTTACCTTTTCCAGACTCACACCTGTTCTTTTAACAAGTGCTTGGAGTCTTGCAATAGTCTCATTTTCCTTTAGCAGCTCATAGGAATTCAGAGGTGATCCTGCTATGTTCCCATTTCTTTTATCAGAAACCAGGTCACATGCTCTGAGGCTCTTCATCTTGGAGGCACTTTCACTGCAGTGCAGGTTTCCCTCAGGTGGAATTCCAAAAGCCATCAGTATCTCTGAAATTTCCTGAATGAACTCAAGTTTATTTGGAAACTGGGGTAGGTCTTCTGGCAGCTCAATGAAATGGTTGTCTACATCCACAAAGCACAGGTTAGCCTGGGATTTAATTTAGAATAGGACATAGCATCACTAAGCACATTATTAATCTTTAGGATTTGTGCTTATATAAAGATTCAAATTCACTTGTTTGGTTATTTTGCAAAACAGAGTTGCCCCAACCATAACTGAACTGGTTGGTTGGCTTTGAAGAATGTAACACAAGACTTACACATCCAGGTCTTCTGAGGAGGTAACTGAGAAAGAAGACTAATTTTACAGACATTTACTATGTACAAAATAGATTATAGCATAAGTTAGGTACAGATGTGTGATTTTTTTCACATGTGTACAGCTAAATTTTAACTACAGAATATATGCAATTCTATTTTATACATATATATGTGTAAGCAGGTGACTGCCTGTTGTTAGATTATCAGTGCACTTCTCTAGAAGATTTAGCAAATTTCAATCTAAAAGGTGTACTGACACTGCAGAAGTACAATGAAGTTATCTGCTCTTTTTTTTTTGTAAGCAACAAAAGGCAATTGCCTGACAACTAAGGCAATTATTTGAACGACCAAGTTTGCTTCCAATGAGAAAAATGAAATTAACTAATTTCCATTCTGGTTTTCTGTTCCAATCTCTAACTCATTTACCACCAAAAAAGGCCAAGGTGAGGGACAAAAAAAGAAAAACCACCTATGTGGCTTCCACCGGAAGATCAAAAGAAGTTCTGCATCTTTCAAGGTTTACCTCACTCTGTATTTGGCAAAGAGGAAGGTTCCCCTTTTGGCTTCTACATTGCAAAATTAAATGGTTTCAAGGCATTACATAACTACACACATCACAGCAAGAACCCCAGTCATGTGTGAAACCTGCCTGGAAAGGTAAGAACAGAGAAGTAACTTTGCTCTTCTATACAAGCATTTTAGTTTCTCTTCACTGCAGAATTAATACGGACTGTCACTATTCTATTAAACCTTCACTATACAAAATCCCTTCACTCAGATTATGGGGTACTTCCAGTTTAACTGCACTGCATCATTCTAGGGGCCATACCTGAATTCAGGCCTCATTACAACTTGGCAGCAAAAACACTTTTCAGATCTATGAGAAATGACCTATCTCCATTCCTATGATTCAGTAAGTGCAGGAGGATGGAAGCACCACCACAATTGGAAAGAAATAATTAGAAGATATCAACCTCATATGGAAGGAATGACACATGATCCCAGAAATCAGAGCTACAAGGAGTTCTAGTAGGAATTTTCTGTGGGACTGGTCGTAGGTAGACTAGAATAAACTGTGCCTGATGAGACTTGTTCCTTTAAGTAAACTTATGAAAATACATATTTAGTACTTGTGACAGGTTTCTATAGAAGACAGGGTGTCAACTCTCCTTAAATCACAAATATCTTATTGAGCTTCAATATTTAAACTGAAAAAAAATCTTAAAGCAGAACTCAACTGGCCATATTGCACTAGCTTGCACAAACTAGTCCAATTCATGCCCTGCTACAATATTACCATTAGTTAAAAAGGTAAGCATGAGTCTAGTTCTCTGCTTCCTAATGTTCTAACATTTCAATATGGAGATTGATTTCTTGTGCTCAAAGGAAAGCATATGAAACAGTTTAACATCTCTTGTATAGATCCTTTACTGCAAATTACATCACAAATTAAATTATGTGTTGCAAAAGAATCCAAGGTCAAGAAAGAAAATTAACACATTGATTCTCAAACAGTTTCTAGTGCACCTTAGAAAAAGTTTTTCTTTTTATGCAGGGCAGGTGTGATTGCTGAAATTCCCCTAATACCAGCACTCCTCCAAGGCAGCATCTGAAGCAAGAACCCGAATTGAGGAGCTTCAGGGATCCCACAATAGCCATGGTTCTGTGACAATCAGAAGTCAAGTCAGCTGGTGTTTGTCAGAAACACTGTAAGCACTTCAAGACGGGAGAGAAATAAAGCTTTGAAACCAGGCACAATGCCTACCAATCAGTGCTGAGAGAGAAACAAAAAGCATTGAATTCGTCTCAAGCAGTCTGCAAAATGGCAAGACAGACTCAGTAAGAAATTCTTCAAACAGTTGAATTGTATTACTTCCTTTTACAACTTTCCTTAATTGATGCCATTCAACTTTCCTTCCTTTTTGGATCAGATTCTGCAGAAAACATCACTCTTGGTTAATAAACTTGGTTGTACCCACAAAGAACTTGGCCAAAAAGAAATCAAACATTAACCTTACCAATGTAGAAATTCAAACTCCTTGCTAATGGAAGAAAAAGCCAAATTCAATGCTTGCTAAAAATGCTTATAAACTCTGGGTTAACACCTGGTTAATTCTTCCAATATGTGATTTTTCCTTCTGCAAGGCTCCTCTCTAAGAGCAATACACACAATTTAAACACTCTGAGCTCCTAATAATGATTGCTTATCATACAACTTGTAATTACATTTTCCAGAAATTGGCCTATATGGAAGCATTTTATTTTAAGAAGTCAGTGTGCAGCAATACTCTAAACAGAGTGTAAAGAATATTTTCAGGAACACTCTGTAGTTATCCAGTGCCTGGTTAATAACACATAAGATAGAGCATTGTGACTTAGCCTCTCTGAACTCAGGGAAGCTGAGAAGAATTGCATACCCACTTCTGAAAAGGCCATGCTCAGAAATGGCAAAAACATCTCCATGTACAAGCCCTTCAAGAGGTACCAAACCGGTATTTTCCTGTGAAAATGAAATCTGAAGTAAATCAGTGACAAACACCATAGCAGTCAATCTCACTATGCTGATACACTCTAGATCTGACAGAATGGAATACCAGTAAGGATAGAGGGCACCCCTCCTTAAAAACTAAGAAAAATTACAAGGCACTTATTATTTATGAAATCATGGTCATCCAAAGCATTTTGAATGCTAGGAACTGGGCAAGTACACAAAGCAGAAAAATAAAGGAGTTATTTGGCCACAAGGGTTTAGTCATTTCGTCTCTGGAGGCAGCACAGCTGAGTGGGCTGTGAATAGCTGACAGCTCTCTACATGGACACACTCTTTATTATTTTACTCACACAAAACCAAAATGATATAAAGACAAGATACTTGGCAGTGTGTAACTAGAGATACAATTGAAAAAGCATTCCTAAGTTAGTTACTTGGTATTTCAGGTCTCTAGACCAGTCATATTCTTTTATTTGTTGCTTACATGTCAGTTTTCTGATCAGATGAAAACCCCAAAACAGTTACACACCACTTCACTTCAATAGCAGAGAGGACACATTACATCATCTATAATAAAAGGCTCTTCTGAGATACTACACTAAGGAACAAGGATGCCACATCCTAACTTAAAAACCTGTTTTCCCCACACACTTTAATCATTCCAAGTAACAGGGTGTCCAGGTGAAAGCCTTACAAACCTTAGAAATGTGAATCTAAGCAAATCGGTGTTTGTTTACCTGGTGCCAGTGCCTGGTTCCCTCAAGCCAACAGCACCACTTTCCATGGCCTCAGTGGGGTGTGGAGCACACCCATCCATGCCAAACCCAAAAGACAATTGCAAATCTTTAGTTTGACCTCAGGTACAATAAGGGCCAAAGCCCCACACAGATCTAGCAGGGCCTGCATCAAGCTCATATCCCTCTTTTCAGCTCTGTTCACAAGCACAGAAGGAAATTATTTAGCTTCTGCTTGAATACAGCACTGAAAGACTAAAGCCCTGTACCACCTTTGAGCATTTGGCCCCAACTTTGTAAACAACCACCCACTTCACACAACACACACAGAACATGGATGTGCAGCTCTGTACACTCGTGGCTGACTTGGGGCAAGTGTCTGCAGTGGGATTAAATTCTGAAGAATGCTCCTGTGCCACTCCTGTAAGCAAATGGGGACCTTCTGCACTTATTCTCAGCACTGCTGTCCTTCATGCCAACCCAGAATTTGGGAGTGAGAACAGCTTACAGCTCAAAGCCATTGCAGCCTTCAGAAACTCCTCAGGTGGCTGTGCACACTGGAGTACAAGAAAATATACAACAGGTTTGTCAAGAAATTTGCAGTATTATCAAGGATCAAACCAGCAGCAGACAGCCTGAGAGTGCATACAAAGCAGTGATCATCTTTAAATAATTATCTTGGTCTAATGTGCTAAGAAGGTTTTTCAGGAGACCTTTCTTATCTTCTGAAACAACATGCAAAAATAAAACCCCACAGAATTTCTTCAGGTTTAGCATTGAATCACATCCTTTTAATTGCTGAAATAAAAACACTGAGAATATAATAATCTGTCTCATACTAGCAGAAAAAATGCACTTTAGGTTTTAAAGTCTTTCAACTTTTCTAACAGGAAAAGTTATTGCCCAAGACCCGGGGATCACTTCATTTAAAAAAGGCTTTTTAATGAGATACTACTTTGATTTCACTAGTGCTGGAAACTCAGCATTGCTTATTTCCATTGAAAATAATTTAAATTTCTACCATTCTCCTAAATTAGAGTGGTGAGATATACATTCAAGTCCTGCTGCATGTAACTTGCTTGTTAAAATGTCTTTCTGTAGCACTGCAGAAGTTTCTTTTAGAAGGAAATGCCAACACACATCAAAAAACCCAATCTTACTTCAGTACTTGCTAGGTTTGTGATCTGTGAGTAAGCTGCTAAAACCACTTCTCTTGATCAGTTTCACTGATAAACAAAGCACACTTTTGCCAGCAACACCTGAAACAGCTACAACTTCTTTCCTTCCCCTTTGACATCTGCAGCACCTCATTCTAGCACAGCTTCTCCCATGCCCTCCCCTTCTCTTCTGGGCTCCTCACAAGCCCCTGGTGCCAGGGAAAGCACAAGGATGCTCATGCACACACAGAAAAGCAGCAGCACCTGTGAGAACGAGCACTCTGCTGCTGCCAGGCACAGGAGACTCCACTGCACACTGAAGCTCAGCATTTCCTAGTTTTACTGGGCTGCAGAGTCAGGTCTGCAGGTCATTGGTAGTCTTCAATGAATTCTCCATCAGGGACTATTCTGCTGTAGCCATGGGATAACCTAAAATTGAACTTTGTACTAACACAACTTTTTTGTTGGAGATTTTAATCATCATCTGCTGCCAGCATTAACTTCTAGGATACAGCTGGATTTCCATGCTCATATGGTAAATCATCCCCTGGAAACACCAGATGTGACCCTAATATGGGAGGCTACCACCAAAACAAGCCTTATGGCATATGTGTGCAAGATTTGCACCACACCAAAGCTGAGTTGGGACAGACAGTATTCTCACATTATTAACCTAAAAATATTAGCCTAAAACACTTTGGGCAAAACAAATTTGTCTTCTTAGAAAATCTTCTTCATTATAAAACCACAGTGAAGAAGTCTACAGTGATACTGAGGTATCCATGCTGTGCTAGACATTCTTCCACAATGCCCTTCAACTGAGAAGCACTAACTAGATTTTCCTCAAAGCTCACCTCTTTGGCCTCTGCTTAAATCTGATACTGCTTTCTTTTACAGCAGCTGTCCCACACATCCACATAAATAGATTAGGAACGGAGATGCAGTTTAGGCAGTTTCAAGACAAAGAAAAAGATTTTTTTGCAGAACTCAGAATAAATTACAACACAGAACAGCTCTTTGTATACTCTTTGTGACAAGTGAGGAAAATTCTGATACCAGGAGCCCAGAGGAGCTCCTCATATAACCCTGATGAGTTCACAAAGGTTGATCTATATTCCAAACTTCAGAGATAAACAATGTTAAATATTAATAGCCACTCTGATACTGATGATAAATTTGTCTTTATTGAAGTACAAATAATGGAATCCATATGCTCTCCTCTACTGTTCTACAACACCACATTATTCATGTTCTATGACAGTTATTGTTTGCTGTTCAATGGGGGTTTGTTTGGGTTTCTTTCTTGGTTAGCTGGGATTTTTTAAGCAATCTCCCTACAGTAAAAACCTCAATAATAGTGAGCTCCTGTTCTTCCCAGTCTACTTAACCCCTTCAATAAACAAATCTCTTGGTACAGGATAACTTTTCAGTATTTACTAAGAGAATGGAGCCTCCAGTCCATTTCTATGCCACAGTTACATCTCCAGCCTGCAACACAAAGGATTCAGCAGCTCACAAGAATCCTTAGCCAGCAGTGACTACAAAGGGGATTTCTCAGACCAGCCCAAACTCATCATGCACAAAGTTTTGAGAGCACACTCTTCAAATAAGAAAGAGAAAAGCTGAAACTTCAGAAGGACAAGGAAGTCTCACAGCAAACTCCACCACATGGGCATGTTGCTGCTGCTTTCTGTCTTGTCTGTCCTCCCCTCCCAGACAACTCTCGGCTCTGTAAGATATTATCAAAAATCTACTCCTCCACCTTCACATAAAAGGCTTACCCGTAAAACAAAATGTAAATTGAAGTGTCAGATCACTTTTTCATAGTACTTGGTTTTCATTTCAAACATCTAAAAATAGAGCAACTGCTTTACTTTAAACCTCCAAAATAACCTGATAAATCTCTTCCAAAAAATATTTACCTTTGAAATAAATGGAATGTTTATTTGAAATTAAAATATGTTTATTTAGTTGAAAGTATTACAGTGATTTTAAAATGAGGAAGCTCTTTACAAAAGGAGGAGAGTCTTTTAGAAGCTTGTGGTAACTGTGAAAACATCAATGGTGCATATTAATATGCATATCCACACATGCATTTTATTTCATCAGCTATTCTCTCTAAAAAGTGAACTAACCATATTAATTAGGCCTGTCAGTACAGCCAAAATTCTGAAAAAATAGTAAACCAAAGCGATATACAGTTGTTTTCATGGCAAGAACATACTCTGTTATTAATTATGCCAGTGGAAAATAAAAAAAAGAAAGAGAGCAAGACAATGAAGAAATCAAGAGATTAAACACTTTAGTTTTCATAGGAAAAAAATACAGTTGGAAAAAAAAAGTTTTACTTTGAACTTGCCAGGAAAAACAAATGAAAACTACCAGCATATGGATTTGAGAAAAAGAGCAATGTTGGCATGGAGACCAGACTGGAGGTTCACAAAAATATCTTGTCTTTAATTTCACACAGCTTTTTTAAAAAGGAAGGTTTTTTTGTGTCAAGCTATGCTGCAGCACTGCCTGATAATGAAAACAAAAACCACCACAAAACCTTGTGCCTGCCACGCTTCTGCTTTCCCAGAAATGCAAATGGTAGTAGAAGAAAACCCACAGTCAGAGAAAGAGGCAGAGAATCCTACCAGGGCCTGTAAGTAGGGTGTTTCCCATGATTTACACAGTTCCTCCCCTGAAAAGTTACACCTATAAGTAAGCAGGGGTCAGACATTTCCTCTGCTGCCTGGAGTGGTGCCTTGATCCTCCCAACCAGCTCTTAAACTCTCTTGGCACATCCCTACAAGGAGTGTTTGTGAAGTGAGCAGGGGGATCAAATAAATAAAAGTAAGAACAACCTCTAAGCAGCCTGAAGGCCGTCCCAGCTCCATGGATGAGTTGCAGAACCTGAGCAGAGCATTTCCTTCTCCCTGACATGGGGGCTGCTGCTCCCAGGGCTCTTCAGCACGACCCCAACAAGCAGGAGTTGCTCAGGCACACGCTGACATTTTGCTGCACACTGAAGCAGGCATTCTAGGAGAAAATCTGAACTGGTTTTGTGCACACACCTGCCAGGCTGGGTCCATGCAAGCCAAGCCCAAGAGAGAAATGCAGGGCAGGGAAACCCAGCCAGGAACCAGCACGGTGCTGATGCCACTTGAGCTCTTCTCACTCACCACCACAACCTTTTGGCCACAGCTGGGGAATTCACACTGCACTTCCTAGCACAGCAAGGCTAATTTTTCCAGCACAAAAATGTTCTTTCTGCAACCCCAATACATCAGTTCCTGTAAAATTACAGTTGAATTCTATCAGAGCATACAATTTCAAAAGCAGGGCTTTATCTATTTCACCAGATTTTTGTCAGCATCTCCAGGAAAAAAAGACCTATCCCAAATCAGAGCCAGCAAGAACATAACAATGGCTGGTACAGTTAGCACTTGTGTTTTGGATCATTTCTCACTTCCCTCATAGTCATGGACAGTATTTAATCAATCAAGGCAAGCTCCTCTCACCTCTTGAGGAAGTTCCAGTTTAGACCTATCATCCAGTCCATTAGAGTGCAAGCCCATGAGGTAAGGGACAGGAGCATCTAGAAAATGAAGGAGGGATGCTGGAAGGATAGGAACATACACATGCTGCCACTGAAATGGAAACATTAGTGCTGTGATGGTCTCTGCCACTGTCATCAGCCTCTGATAATCTGAAAAAGATCAAGAAAATTAATTTTTTTTTCACAAATACTTTTAAGTAAATGAATTTAAATTAAAGAAATTAGAAGTTGCTTGAAAACAGAAACCACAAAACCCAGTGCTGAGTGGCATCATAATGAAAACCCAGACCTGCACACCCAGCACATTTTGCTGAAACAACAAAGAGAGCTCAACCCAAAGTAGGTCATTCTACAAGTCATATGGAAATGAGCAAACTAAGCCTTAATGCATGCTAAGTCACTTTCTGCTACCTATACCAGGGTCACCAGGAACACCAGTTTGAACACAGATGCAATACTGTAATCAGCTAAGAAATACATCAGAAATAATTTATTTTCTCTGTGCTCGGGGCTTTCTATGGAAGCCTTGGATGAAACCCAAGGCATCTGGTATCTCTCAGATAAACATTTTTTCAAAGAGTGTTTAAATGTCTATAAAGCACGCTGTATAGCAGCCAACCCAACAGTGTGACTGAAATAACTATGCAGGAAATGCAAAGGATCAGCTTTGTTTAGCCTTTGCAATGCACGACCAAAGCCTCAGTTCAATGTAAAAACAACTCATGCCCTCCTAGAACTTAGGAGTACTGTTAAATCTATCTGTGCAACACACTAAGAGATTTTTTTATGTAGCACTGGTGGCTAGAGCAGTTCACACTTCTGGGCAAACATTGCACCCTCCTCATCTGTAACTACAGAGTCATCTCTAAGGGTTTTTGAAATCCCATAAAGAGGGAGGCAGCACCAGATGTGTGTTCCAATACAGCTGCTGAAACATCCCAGCTGCCTTCCAGCTGCCAGGCTGGAAAGGGTATAAAACACTCCCACAACTAGGGCAATTCCTCCCTTCTGTCAGGCTATAAATATAGCACAAACTGGAGACACAGGATGCCTTTTGATACTGCAACAACATCCAATTCCAGTCAGGAAAGGGGAGGGAATACAAGGAAGAGAAAGTCAGTAACCTTTATATGTGTGTGTAGTATTAAGGTGTGGGGTATGCATGTCTTCTCTCACAGAACTACAGACAGTATGAAACTTAAAAAGACACTTGAATGGGCAGGCTCAGGTGCTGAGGTTTCTGAAGCTGTTGCACATTGTCACAGAGGGCAGATGAAAACTGTAAGAATAACCTTTGTTCTAAACACTCTGGAGAAGAATTTAACTTAACTGTGGCTCAGCCCAAGTTGATGGTTTTGATTCTATCTTTTAGACAGCCTCCACTCAAGACTTCAGACAGTAGGAAAAAAAATTCAAACAAAAAAAAAAAAAAAAAAAGGCCAAGTAATTAAGTTCCTGGCATTCATGATTAATTTTGTCTGGGGACAACATTGTAGAGTTTGGGGTCTGCAAAGAGCCACACAACCTAAGAGGAATTCAGCACAGGTTTTGCTAACATCACCCATAATTCTGCAACTTAGGCTTTTGATTTTTAATCTTCATATCAAGCTGTGCTGGTGGAAAAGTTTATTGCATGGAACCCATCACTGCCTCACAGCAGACCTGCCACGAAGGACCCTTCAACCAGAACAGATGAGAACAGCTTAAATAGGTTAAAGTTTTTGCCAAAAGCTTATTTGGACTGAAATACCAATGAACATCACAGCAACACTCCCCTACTCTGCCTGGACACCAGCTTCTGCCTACGTAGCTACGTACGGGTTTGCAGCTTTAATCACAGCCTGACTGCAAGGAAGTGATGAATTAATGATAAGCTTTGGGAAGAAGAGGATTCTATCCCATACCCTATTTTCTTCAGTTTTTAAAGGACCTTTAAATGTAGCCATAGATACACAAACATTGCAGCTGGTTTGTATTCAGCTTGTTTATCTGGAAGTACAAGTCTTAAAATAGAAAGTGTTTTCCCACTACACAAAACCCCCTGTCTGATCCTGCAGGATAATTTAAATACAACTTCTCCCTCTGTCATTAAGCTAACTTTAGTATCAGCCTTCCAAATTAATTACAAACTAACATCAATAGGTCAGAATTGCTATCCACTGGGCAGGTATCTCCTGCCACAGAGCTATCTGCAAAAGCAGCTCTCTGATCCTGGATATCCACATGGCTTAAGCCATTCCCAAAGATTTAGCCTGGTGAGCTGCAGCCTGCAAGTAACAGTGACTGCATTCTGCTATTTGCAAAAGGCAAGGACAAAGACAAGAACATAAAAACAAACAAAAATAACTCCTATGTTTTCATAAGTTATACCTACCCAGAGAGGGTATGGAGGGAGTTTTGGGTTTAAAGAAGCAAGCAGCAGAGTTCTTGTACCAAAGAATTACAGAAGATTTAAAAATAACAACAAGAAAAAGATTAAAAGAGTGAAGAACTGTTTTCAGTAGTGCTGTTGCTCTTGTCCCTGAAATCAGAATGTGCTTTTTCTGGTGTCAATGACACGATCTTTTGGCCTTTTATTGTACACAAGCACTGTTAGGGAAATAATGACATATGACTAGGGCACTGTTAGATAGGAAAGTGCTTAACTGATCACTGTGCAAGAAAAATAAAATCCACTAATTTTTTTAATATAGCCACTTAAGAACACAGAAAAATCATGATTTTTTTTATTCTAACCAACTGCTGTAAATAAAATACATTATCTCTTAAAGTGTGTATGAGAAGTTACACAACAGTATTTATCTGTAGAAGACAAAAAAAAAAAATTGAGAGATTCTGTGCCTGGAAAAAGAGGAAGAGGATGGAAAGATGCTGGGAGCTCTAAGAACCATAATTCCACCTACCTATTTTCACATTCTACCAGAGAAAAGTCTGTCAAGTGCCTACAGAAATCCTCTGACTCAGCCAAATTTAAAACAATTACACAAACACATTTTGGAACGTCTTTTCCTTTTAATCTTCCTACTTTATGGATCACAATGAAATACTGTTGTATTTGTCAAGTAACTCACAAGCCACTTCAAAAAGCCCTGTAGCTGCAGTAAGAACCAGCTGTGGTTAGCAGAAGCAGTGGGGTGCAGTATCTCCTGTTCAGTGTCTGACAGGGGGATTCAAGCAGCAAGGTTCCTAAATCACTGGAGGCATAACGAGAAAGGGTCCTATGTAAGAGATCAGAGCTAGGCAGTACGGAGTAATACTGCAAAGACATTAAACTCATACTTCAAATCTACAGAATGAACGTAATTTTAAACAAGTGAAACAAAGATGGGGAGGTGTGATTCAAAGGCAGAGCAGAAAAAGACCCCTTATTTGTACTGTAACATGGCAGCTGCCACCCAAAAAATAAAACTGTCCTAGATCACAATCTGTGGCAGCAGTGCATTTCATTTCTCCTTTTTTTGTTTCTAGCTGTTTAGAAAAATTACCTCCAAGCAGATTTCACAGCTGTCTTAACTCAGCACACACTTCTGAGAAGAGCTCTAGGTGCTCTGAGATAAGGAATGAGTCTATTTCACAGTTACAAGAGCAACATGAATTGCAGGAATGCAAACCAGCTCCCACAGAATATCTGGCAAGGGCACTTCCCACAGGCCTCCAGCACCACTGACTCTTTCCAGAGTTCCTGAGCACTGGCTCAGCACAAGCAGCATCCTCAAATCCCTCCCTCTCTTACAAGCCTCTGACATTTTTCCAAATGGCAGACAGGTCTCTCACCAGGACAATCAAATTGAGGCATTCATTCCCTTCACTTGGCTTACAGCGATCCAAAATACACAAGGCTGTGCCAACATAGTGGGACAAAAGAAGAATTTCCAGAAGCATCAAGTAAGAAATATGTCAAAGGAATCTTAAACCAAAACACTTTCACTGCCAAATGAAGTTACTCCTACTCCAAGGACTGACTGAAACTTGAAACACTAAAATAATTTGTGTCAAAAAGGATTGCACTTGGCAACAAATTCATTGAGACATATAAACATGAAAAGGTTTGGGTTGGAAGGGACCTCAAAATCATCTAGTTCCACCAGACCTCCAAGAAGTTTGGGGTTTGGTTTTTATTTTGGTGGTCTTTTGTTATTTTATGCGTGTTTGGTTTTTGGGCATTTTTTCAAGTATATCTTACAAATCTGCTGATCCTGACATGTACTGTTCTAAGTCTAAATCCACCCAACTATACCATAATCTCACCTGACCTAGGAAAACAAGAAATTATCTCAGTCACCTCAGCTGTCATGGGTCTGAGCATCAAGAAATTCAACAAACTCAAAGGATATTTTAAAACTGAGAATTTATATTCTGAAGGACCACCTAGACCTCACACTGGTGTGCATGCAAGAACATGAAAAGCCTTTACAAAAGTAAAGCAATTTCTGATTCCACTTAGAACTGAGTGGACAATCACCTGTATCTCCATTCAATATTTCCTGTTTTACAAACAGATGTTACTCAACCATACTGAAGAAAGAGCAGAATATATTAGGAGCATAATCCAGTTGAAAAGAATAACAGAGCCAAAAAAACCAAAAACAACAACAAAAAACCAAAACAAAAAACCAGAGGGATTAAATCCCTCAAAAAGCCCTTAAGAGAAGCTAAGTTTAAAAAAAATTGCCTACTATTGCTGAGGAGGCAGTTCTGCAGCCAGTTCACCAAACTTGAGGGTCAAAAGACAGCAAATGAGTAACTAAAATTTTTTCTACTGAAAGAAGACTTTTCAACCAAAACCTAAAGCGAGAACTTGACAGAGAGACAAGACACCTCCATAAAATGTACAACACAGCCCATCTCGGCCAAAGCTTGGGGTGAGGCAGGAAACAGTGGACAGAAGCTGTCCTAACTGATCCCTCATCCCTCTGAATTCCAAGTGTCTGAGCCTGAAAACAGAAACTCACAGTGTTCCAAGGCTATTTAGGGCTTCTTTAATTAGCCACTGATCAGACCTGGAAAGGGCCCAAGACAGAAAGCTGAACCTATTAAATGGTCTTGGAAAGAGAAGCCAGAATACAGCAGAAGTGAGGTGGGGTCCAGCCTGGAAAAACAGAGCACTCACAAGGTGATGGCCTGGAAGGAGCTCCAGAAGCACTGCTCCCACATGATGATGCACACATGGAGCTTCCAACCCACCACAGGAATCTGAGACACCTCTCCAGGCCAACACCACCACACCCTTCTTCAGATGGAAGTGCTGAAGTTTAAATCCTCCACTGGTGGGACACAGGTATCCACAGAAACTTTCCTTAAATCTCAAACAGACCAATGCCTAATCCATTTCAGGGGAAAACATAAAAGAAGCTTGTCTGCTAGACAAGTATTTCTAAATTTGCTATGAACAATAAGAAGAGCAATTTGTTTTCTTAAATCCATGACAGTAACCACTATAGAGTTCAGTAAGTCTTTTTGACTGCATCTGAATTACTGTGCAGTTTAGTGTCTATACAACGACAACACCCTGCTGCCATTACAGACTTTTAACCACTCTAATTGTACATACAAATCCATCCTTGCTCTAATCTATGCATAGATCTTAACACACAACACAAAATCTGTATTTCATGCTTGGAGAAGGTTGCTGATAAATGTAGGTAATATTTTGTAACTAGTTACCATTTGTGTTCTTTCTACCTATGTCAGTTACAGGACATAGTTAGAAAGAACACAAATGGTAACACAAATGGCAACTCAAGGGAAGTAAACACTGAAAACAAATTTCAACAACACCATGGACTCTTGTCCTGAATTTGTCTTGGGGTCTTTTAGGCTTCCTAACCATTACTACAAATTAGTGTTCAAAATGCAGGCTGTCTGTTTAAGGCACACCATTCTGAATGGATGAGTCTGGACTGTTAGTCAGCTTGGGTCAAAAAAATAAAAAAAGAAATTATCTTTTGGCATAATTCCACACACTCTGTGTTAGAGCAACAGGATGTGGAGAAAGAAGGCCAGTATCCACAAATTTCAACACAGAAAATAGATACCACTCCCACACTACTCACTAATTGATAAACATTCTATTTCAGCTCAGTTGCTGCCTATGCTCTTCAAAGCAAGCTTTAACTATGTTCCTTCAGAGCTATAACTGGTCTTAATGGAGATTTGGGATTTGAGTTCAGTCAAAACTTTTTTCGGGTACTTCTCTTTCAAAGAAACAACTGAAATGTGAATTTGGGTACTCCAAGAAAAAATTGTATTTGCATGATTAACTCTTTTTCAGAGCCAGATGCATATATAATTAACTGTGTATCTTTTCAAAATGCATGGCTTAGTCTGCAGAGATAGCAGGGAATTCAGCTGAGCAGCTAGACAGGAACATGAAAAAGGCAAACTGCTCTATCCAGCAGCACAGGTCCAAAGCCAACAATAAAGGGGCCAGCCAAACCACGAATAGAGGAGATTATGTGAAAACCCAGTTTTAAATTTAGGTGTCTAACAGCAGGAGCTAATGCAAGACTCTTCTTTACCTGAAGACCTGCACACAGATCAGCCAGACTGCAATATCATGCTCATGCCACTTTAATGCAGCTATTCTGCTGTTTGTGGTGTTTTTAGCATTCAAGACACAATAAGACCTTGTGCCAGTACAACTACAAGATAAGAAAACAAAACCCAAGTACTCACGCTGTGAATAAAGCAGTATCTGAAACTCCAAAAGGGCACAGGTAAAAAGTTGAACCACATTTTCTACTCCAAGCAATTCAAAAACTTCTTTAACAGGAAAATCAAACAATGGTAGTTCATTGGTGCTTGGCCTCTGGCAGATAATTGGTCCATAAACACCTGAAAATTTCAATGACCTTCCTGCTGGAGGAAGAGGAACCTCATAGAGAATATTGTAGATGTAGCTTTCTAAAGGTAGTGGCGGTGGCTGAGGTGAAGTCACTGCTTGGTGAAGTTGTTCTAGAACTTTCTTACAAGCTTTCATGAAAGACATTGGGGTAATCAGACAAATGCACTTTGAGACATAGAGTGTGTCTCTGCTGATGTCATAGGAGTTAAATCGCTGTAGCTTTGAGACAGAGGTGCCATTGCAGTCCCCAGCACTGCTGCAGCTCTCCTTGTCATTGGTGGGTGGAGTATGAAGGATGTCATATTCAGCATTGTGCATATGATACAACGTCTGCATTGCACTGCAGATCTGTTTGCTAGTGACTTCCTCAAAAAACGTGAGAGAAAATCCAAATGTCCGCGAGCCATCTTCACGAGTAATAATAAAGGAGTGGAATTGAGGTTCTCTGGAATCTGCTTGTGTCTTGAAAGCAAGCCCTTTAGGCATACACAGCTACAAAAAAGGGAAAGGGGAGACAATATCCATTAAAAAATGCTTTTCTCTCCCCTGTCTGCAGCAGGGGGGAGAAGCATTGGTGAAAATGGGATTAAAATCCACAGACTGCATTGCATTTCACCTTAAATTCTATTAAGTGCTACATTTCTGTACAGTGATATGGGTCTAAATCAGAAAAACAAAAGGAATGTATCAAAAGGGCTGCATGCAATTTCCATTGAAACTTATTACTATTTTGTTACCAGTCTCATATTTTTTATTAATAAAATAATAAAATTCAAACCCACATAAATGGAAGTATTTTTCTGGTTACCAAGATCAGAAACCTGACAGAGAAAACTACTATATTTTATCTGAATTAAGACACACCACGTTCTATTAAATGGAAAAATCACACACAAAAAAAAGATCCATTAATTGCAGACTAATTTATTTCTCTACTAATTCTCTAGAATGTAACAAAAAACCCCCAAAAGTCATGAAGTGATACTGACCATTCCCACTGCATCCTGGTCAAAAGGGTTCCATTCAACATTCTCAGGATAGCGAGCAAGAACTTTGGATTTAAATGTGCGTCTTAACGGAGTCTGTTCAAAGTTTTCCCCTACAGATGAAAGAAAAATACAGAAGTAAAATTTCATTCCCTTTTTAAGCACAAGCAAGGCCAAAAATCAGGACATCAGTAGGCAGACGCAAGGGTAAGTGAATTAAGGACACATTCCTTTTAAGAGAAACAGAAAATGCAAGACAGTTCGTTAGCATTATAGTCAGACTGCAGATATTAGCAAGGATTAGCTTTGTAACATTTCTGTGTCGCTAAGTATCTGTGCTTTTCCTTAAGTGTGGCAATCTTGAGACTGTGGTCATAACAGCAATTCTCTAAGCCACTCCTCAGATATTTCAGATTCTCATTAAAACGCAGCAAAAGCTTCAGTTTCAGTGCAATGTTGTTACTGAAGAAAAGCACAAATAGACAAAATGAAAAGATGATGCAACTTTTAGACAGAGATACAAGTGACATCATGAGCTCTCTTAATTTCATTTTCAAGACTCAGGAAAAAAGATAACCACCATCTCTTGCAAGAAGTTAGCTGTGAAGGAAGAGTCTAGAAGGTTAGAAGATCAAGAACCACATAAAGGTCCATGAAGATAGAGTATCAGATGAACAAAGTGCTTTTTTTATTTTTCCCCACACTTTTTCCTTTACCTTCTGTTGCACTTGAAATGAAACGGCTGCCACCATCTCGGGTTTTAGAGGCCTGAATATACTGGCATAACGCTATATAACAAATAAAAACAACACTGCATTATACATTTCATACTGTTGACTGTGATCACTGCTAACACATATCAGCAAAAAACATACAAATATCCAGAATTAGCATGCATGACAGTCTCCTCCCCTAATATGATTTTTCTGCATATACAACTTATAGGAATTTCTCATTTTATGTACATATTTCTAGAAGGAGACGATCAGTATTTAAGAGAAGCTCACTGTTCCTGTACACACAGAATACTGATGCAGTAGAAATAAGCTGCTTGTGAAATTGAAGTTTCACATTTTAACTAGAAAATATTCCCAAAGAGCAGATGATGCAACTGACTCCAAGGACAAGACCACTTGAAGGCCTTTAGAACTATATGAATTTAAGTGACATGGTCCATCTTTCCACAGCTGCTATCCATACACTAGATTAGCTCAAAGTCTTGTGTAGAAGCTCCTAAATTTCCTCCAGAGCAATGACAGCTCATTGTGATAGCACAGAACTTTCTGCAGTGAATATCCTGAGTGTGAGCAGTTGCTTTAAAAAAGCAAAAACGTACAATTGCGTATCTTAAAATAAGCTTAGCTATATTACTAGAATGCAATTAGCTAAATGAGCATGCAGCTGTTGACAGCTGCACTAACAATCAGGCACAATTGCATGAAATCATATGCTTTAAATAAATGGAACTGTTTCAGCAACACCTGCAAAACAGAAAACACATTCCAACTCCTCTCTTGTTTTCTTACATGCAGCAATTACACAGCAATAGAAATTGATTTCAGAATTGGTTGGGTTTGTTTTGCATGTCTAGAGTAATATTTAAAGTTCAATTTCAAAGCCAAGTTAGAATCTTTATTTGGCACAACACTGACTTCGACTAAGTAGCCATAGACAGAGATGGTTACAGCACTGTCTCAGCACAATACAGAACCTAACAAACACATCACACCAAACCAAACAGAATTTCCAGTGAATGCTTAACAAGTCCTTTGACAGCTGAGAAGCCTGGTAACTGTGGATTTTCTTTAACCAAGTCTTAAATATTATCTCAGGGAACTTATCCTGAATCAGGACCTAGGACAGGTCTCCCAGTACCCAAAATATTCACATCTATTTTGCAAATTCTCTGGGCTTTAGCACCGAAATAGAAGGAGGCATTGCTTCTATTATTTGTCTGAAAAATCAACAGCTCAGCTAATTTTCACACAGAACCACACAACTACATTGTTTATTAATCTGTTCAACCATATAGTTCAATAATATCATTGTTCAGAAAGAAAAAAAATGTGTATTTGGGAAAATCTGAAACATAGAAAGATGAGTAGTTAGGAATACGTAGACAGATGAATAGTTAGGAATAACCAGGACACAACGTCATTGAAATATAACCATCTTATGAAAGAGTAGGGCCAAAGACAGAAAAAGTAACAGCATTTGCACAGCTAAAACAACCATAAGAGCTGAAAACAAACATTTAAAGAAACTTTCAATCTCCCAGAAAGAAAAATGGACATAATGCCACATCTCTACTGACACAAACATCCACTCAAGTGAAGTCAGTCCTCTGTAAAAAGCTTTTAAAAGTATGTCAGGAGATTTAACACACCTACTGTTTTCTATATTTACATCTGTGCAGATGATGTAATGTCAACTTTTAGATAATTGAGGAAAAACCTCAGACATGTACTAAGCCGTTTTGTTCCTTGGATGTTTTTTTTTTCATCTTCCACACACGTAGAGGAGAGAAAATACATGAAGGCCAAATTTTCTCCTGAACTAGGAAACCACACAGCACAATCACTGAGTTCACCTATGTGCAAGGCTATACATTTTAAAACTAAAAAGAAAAATAAGAAAAATCTGGGATTTGAAGACCTTTTCATTTAGAGTATTAACACTGCAAAATACATGATGCTGCTGGTTCCTTGTGATTAAAAAAAAACCCAAACCCTAACAAACACTGAATGGATGTTTACCTATTTAAAGAAGCCTTGCACCATCTCCTCCCAAGAGACATTCTCGCCAACACACTCTTAAATTTTTTAGAGCTGGAGTCTGTCTGTAATTTAATGAAAGGATTAAAATTGATTTCTGGAAACCACTGAGTCCTGATTCAGACAGAAACATAAGGCAACCCTCACAGGCCTTGCTGCCATCCATCAAGGCACTCAGCTGTTGCACAGACACTGCTGCTGCCAGAGTGTCCCAGCAGCACCCTTCTCTCCTCTCCACGCTGCCCTGCCGGAATGCTGGCTGCCAGCTCTGCAGGATGCTCCTTTCCCTTCCACAGCAGCACAGTCTCCTATCCCCAGCTTGCTCTTTGGGGAGAGCCTTCATGCTTGGAATACCACAAACTACTGGATCGTGCTGGCTCCCAAAGACACCGATTCAAACAAGGCAGGGAATGTCAAGGGACAGCTCGCCGACATTGGAAATTCAGCCCAGGTGATCTCTGTGAGTCCAGGACACTGGACACTCTGTTGTCCTGCCATTACAAGTACAGGTAACCTGAGCACCAGCATTTACCTTGCCTGGACTCCCCCTTCTCTCCTCTCCAGTGACTGTCACTAGACAGCCATCAGCAATGGGGAGGGGGGAAATCCATAAACAACACTTACTTGCATCCAGAGGCAAAAAGCAATTAACCCTGAATTTCTAAATTTATGATCAGCTGCAAACAGAGAAAGCCTGTTACAGCAAAACACCAACTGCAGCACATCTCCAGCAGCAAAAAAATCCCCTCAAGGTTTCAAGATCTGTCTCTGTATTAAAAGGATATTCTGAGTTGGAAGAGACCTCCAAGGATCATTGAGTCCAACTCCTACGTAAATGGCCATACAGGGATCAAACCACAGCCTTCATCATGCTCTAACCAACTGAGCTAATCTTGGTTAGTTGATTTATTCAGAAATAATTGAAATGGTTTTAATAAGAACAGTGAAGAGAAATTTTAGCAAATGCAAGAGACCAACCCACCAGCAGAAATGGACAGTTGTATTCTACAACTAAGAAAATGAAGGCATAAGAGGAAATAAACTGATGAAAATACGATGTATCCCATAAGATGAGATAGAGAGCAAGTCCCCACACCTATCAAAGAACTGTTATCTTCATATCCTGCTTTTTACATGGTTTCTCTCCCTTAGCAGAAGTAATGGCTAGAAAGTAATTTCCTTATCCAAGTTACCGTAAAGAGGTCTTAAGAAATTATTTATACATAAGTAATTTCTTTCTTTTATACACATTCCATGCAAAATAAAAACTTTTGGGTTTTTTAATGGCACAGTATTGCCTGCTGAGGACTAAAGAGGTCTTTCAAACACCATTGATGTTCCTCACATACACATTTACCACTGAGGTGTTTGATATATCAGAGGAAAAGCTCTACAAAAATCAAGATGCAAAATGTCACATACACTGCAAAGTTGCAACTACCTTGGACTTAAATCAGACTCAATGATCAAACACTACAACTATAAGATTATTTGTCAAGAAACGCCAAATGACACATAAAAATTGTAAATACCCAGAAATACTTCAGGAAATTTCAGGCCTACATCAAACCTTCAAAACAGTAAGAATCCCATTGTAATTTGCAATATAAATAGTATCATGAAAGCACAGAGAAATATCATTTAACCAAGCACAGTACATATCCACAAGCACCAGTTTAGTGCAGCCCTGGTACTGCACCCAGCAGGGGAATGACAGTGAAACAGAGCATCTCAGAATTTCTTTGTCACTGGAAAAAAAAACACTCCCTGCAGCATCCCACTCAAAATAGGATCAGTGAAACAACATGGATTAAAAATAAACAAATAGAGAATAAAGAAAGGGTTAACAAAGATTAACATTTCATTAATCCAGTTCAGCCACACAAATGGCTTAATTAGCTCATGGTGCTCTCCCAAAACAGGGGGGAAGTAAAAAGTGAACCGCAGACACAGAGGCTGTGAAACTGGTGAGCTGAAGAAAACATGGACTAGAGTTTCAATGCCTGCTAACTCCTGAAGCCAGCCCTCCTCCTGAGGCCCAGCTCACTACCTGCTGCCTCCTGCCATGCATGCCAGGTAATTGATTTTTCAACACCAGCAACCATCACCCAGCTCTGGTAATGCCCTTTGCTTCCTCTCCCATTTTTCACACTTTATCAACCCTCCCCATTAAACATGATAGATCCTTGCCATCCTGGAGATGGCTGAGCACCTGTCTGCCCATGGGTGGTGGTGAATGAATTCCTGTTTTGTTTTGCTTTATCTATTAAGCTATTTTTATCCCGACCTGCAAGTTTCCCCGCTTTTACACTTCTGATTCTCTCACCTATTCCACAGGAGGGGAGTGAGAGGCTGTGTGGAGCTGGGTTAAACCACACCTCGTGTTGTTTAAGACGACATGCATGAAAGACTTAAGTTATCAGCTTGCTTATCAAAAGGGAAGTCACCAGTTAGACACAGGCTCTGAGGAAGTCACCTTGGCTGAGGGATGTCCAGGACTGGAGGCTTGGTCTGGCTCCTCCTGGGCAGGCAGAGCTCAGCTGAGAGCAGTCTCAGACCGCAGTGGGGGACACTTGACACCTATTGGGTTAAAGCCCACATCAGAGGCAGGTAATTCTCCAACACCTCTCTCTCACATCTTTTCAGTAAGCTGCACCTGATGGACTGAGTTGTGTGCATAAAGCAAACTACAAACCTGCTCAGGAAGACCCAGCTGGAAGACCCAGCTCAAACCAGCCCCTTTTCAAAGCGGCATGGCAGCTCACAACACTGCTCTAACAGCCACCCAATACCATTTGCAATATATGGAACCATGATGGGCTTTCAGTTCTAACTTCATTTACACCATCTGAAATTATGCTGACCTACGTATCTGTAAATTGGACTTTGTAATTACCAGCATATTACAGCAGCTAATGTATGCACTGCAAGTATCCTACGCTGAACGAACAAGTACACCTCATTTTATCAGTGCCTTCCTGAGTCACCCAACACTGCACGTGAGCCACATCACC